CAAATTTTATAACTACAAAATCCCATCTTTTTAAAAGTCCCACCGTCAATTCTATGAAGAAATTTTTTTTTAAAATTTTATCAAAAATCACCCCACCCCCCTTATTCAATTCTATAAAAAATCCTCAACACTCAAAGTTAATTTTCTATTTACTTAATATATCCAATCTGCAATTCATTGTTATAAATAATTGCAGATCACAAGTAACTAAACATAAGCTTTTTTGTTGACAGCATCTTTCTTTGTATAATCCATGTTTTTGTGCATAGCTACGTTGTTTTAAAGCTTGATATAAATCAAAATTGAAATCGAATGTCGTCTCATTGTATTGATATAATCGCCTACCACCGTAGAATATGATATAAATAATAAAGAATTATTTTCAAAACTGTCAATACAGGGTGTTCCAATAAACATGGAAATTGAAAGACGACTTGAAAGTCGTCTTTGATTTTTGATATTTAATACATAGAAAAGAAAGTATAACAATCAAGGCTGTATGTCTGACGAGTTTTTCATAAAGTGGTCTACATTTCTTGTGCCTTAAAAATTGACGAAGGTCTTAGATATTAAGACAATTTTGATTTATTAAATAAATTAAAATTTTTTTAATTTCTCCAATATCTCTGTCAATTTTGTGGTAGACCACATTTTGAAAATCTGAAGACCAAGTGTTTTCGATTTTAGATGTTTAAACTGGAAAACTCCAATAATTCTGTTCATGAAAAATGCCGCATGAAACGAAGACGATATTAAAGTCGTCACTTAATTCCCATATTTATCGGGACACCCTGCACTGTACTGTGTACATACAATAAGAACCAGAAAACTCTAGAAGAGAAGACGACTTTTAGTCTCAAGTTATGACTTTAAAAATTCCAAAAACTTGAGAGACAACATTTGTGAAGTGTTTATAATCTCATTTCACAAAATAAATGATTTTATAAGTTACTAGTAAAACTATTTCTTCACAACAACCTCAAACACACTTAATTATTGCTTTAATGTCGTCTTTCTTTTCCACAGTTTTCTGGCTTTCACTGTACAGTGTATATAAGAAGAATTTTTGTTCACAGCTAATATTATGTACAGGACCGAAGTTTCCTGTACATGCTGTTTCCGTACGTGTGCGGAGGAGAGCTTTTCTCGTATCTCAGAAGTGCAGGTACAAATCAAAAACAAAAAATTGGATGAAAAAAAATGTTAGACCTTGCTCTAAGCCCGTCGATTTTTTACGTCAATAAACAAAAATTTGGCAAAAATCTGCGACAAACTCGAATTTTCTATTCCTTATATCTTTGCAACCTGATGGTGCAAACCTCAAATATTTCAAAATTACTTTTTAGTAAACAGAATTTATAGTTTGAAAGGTCTACGACATTGGGTGTCAAAGATATAAGTATTAAGAATCTAAGATTGTGACAAAAACTCAATTCCTTTGACCCGCCATTGGTAGAATGGCATCTCCTATTCACAACGGATAAAATTAAAAACATTTCAAAGAACAAAAACCACGTCATCTTTTACATTATTGATTAAGGGTTCAAATCCTTCAGACTACAACAACAGCAAGAGAGGATTAATTCTACCAAACCTTATAAAATAGATATACGCGTAAACTATGAAATTGTGGAATATGATACAGTGGTCTTCCTAATTCACAGTTTTCTGGGTCCCCCTGCAGTTTGATAATCTTGTAATTGTTTAAATATTTGTTTCTGGGTCCCCCTGCAGGTTGATCATCTTGTAATTGTTTATATATTTGTTTAGGGAGGTTTAATTCTAGCACCACCTTCTTCTATTCTGCAGAGATAGTCAGTGCACTAGACTATCTGCATTCACTCTCCATAGTTTACAGGTTTATAGACATTTTTTTGAACCTCAAAAAAAAGGTTTTAATTTAAAAAATTGAACTATTTTATTAACTACCATTCACTTTCCATAGTTTACAGGTTTAAATACATTTATTTTTGAAGCACAAAAAAAAGTTTTTGAATAAAAAATCTATCTACATTAACTTTTCAGAGTTACCAGATTTGAATTTATTTATTTTTGAAACACAAAAATTTACTCTAGCAAAAGTTTTTTGAGTAAAACATTTTCAAGGTTCAAAATTTTCTGCCTCAACTTTTGTAAAACTGTATTTTTTTGGACAAGATAAACCTAAAGTTGTAATCTTATTATTCTAATCTAGATCTATTGTTGCAGGGATTTGAAACCGGAGAATCTGCTGCTTGATAAAGAAGGACATCTCAAGATTACAGATTTTGGATTCGCTAAACGAATTTCAGGAAACCAAAGCAGACTTTATTATTGGAAATATTTTAAAATTGATTTTCAACGTTTTTCGATTCCATGAAAATTGATGGAGATCTGATGAAAATATCCGGAAAAGAAATTTAGCTCGGGAAATATTTGGGAAAAGAAACCGAAGTTAAGATTTAAGAAAACAAACCACACTGAGGAAAAAATTCAATTAAAGAAACCAAACTTTTGAAAAAACTTAATTTAAGGAACCAAACTGATGAAAAAATCAAATTAAAAAATCAAACTGAGGGAAAAATTTAATTAAAGAAACCAAACTTTTGAAAAAACTTAATTAAAGGAACCAAACTGATGAAAAAATCAAATTAAAGAAACCAAACTGAGGAAAAAAATTAATTCAAGAAACCAATAAGTAAATATTAAAGGAAAAGAAATCAGACTGGAGAAATATTAAAGGAAAAGAAACCAGACTGGGTGAATTATTACACACACAAAAAAAATAATATTGGGTGAAATGTTAAAGAACAAAAACCAAACTTAGGAAATATTAAAGGAAAGGAAACCAAATTGAGGGAAAATTAAAGATAAACAAACCAAATAGGGTCATCTAATATTTAGAAAAAAGATTAAAGGAAAAATGGGGAAAAATTTAAATATTAGAAAATCTTATATAAAATATGGTTTCTGAATGAAAAAGGAAGATGTGCGATGAAGATATGGTAAAATATTCTAAGCAAAAGAATTCAATTCAGTTAAGATGAAAGAGTGTTTTACCTCTAGCTAGACATATCTTCATTCACTTTCATATTAAAGTACACTTACAGTCAGGGTCGCAGGGTGTATAGAATTTGTTGTGAAGTTGGGGGGATATGGGGAGAAGAAAGATAGGGAGATAAAAACATGGAGATAAGAAACAGCGATATAAGAGACGGTGAGATAAGAGACATGGAGATAAGAGACAGAGAGATAAAAGACAGGGAGATAAGCGACAGGGAGATAAGAGACAGGAGCTAATTGAGGGGGGGAAATGGGGAGAAGAAAGATAGGGAGATAAGAGACAGGGAGATAAGAGACAGGGAGATTAGAGACAGAGAGATAAGAGACGGGGAGATAAGAGACAGGGCGATAAGAGACATATAGCTTAGAGACAGGGAGATAAGAGACATATAGATATGAGACGAGGAGATAAGAGACAGAGAGAAAAGAGACGGGGAGCTAAGATACTGGGGATACGAGACAGGAAGATAAGAAAGCGACAGGGGATCAAAAGTCGGGGAGATAAGAGACAGAGAGTTAAGAAACAAGGGGAAGAGAGATAGAGAGATATGAGAAATGGATATAAAAGAAAGAGTGATAAGAGAAAGAGTGATAAGAGAAAGAGTGATAAGAGATAAGGAAGATAGGGAATACGATAGTTCACTTGAGAATTGAAATAAATTAATTTAACTACGATGAAAAGTCTCTTTCCTTCAATCTTATTTCAATGAAAGTAAAATCAAAGATTCAAGAATTGATCCTGAAAATCCAAACTTCAGTCATTACCAAAGAGAAATTTTAAATTAAATCATTCGTTTTTTTTCAGCGTATTGTTTCTCTTAATTATGTTTGTATCACAAATATAGTTTGTAAAGCCTGTGTTTGGTTTAGACCGAACCTGGACACTGTGTGGTACTCCAGAATATTTAGCTCCAGAGATTATTCAATCCAAGGGTCACAACAAGGTAGGTTTTTTAATTATTGTGGAGGGGGGGGATCTGATAACCCCCCCCCACCTCTTTCTCACATATAATTTACCCGTTTTAAACTGGTAATCAGGCTTTAGTAAAATGTTTTCGTTTGATTTAAAAAAATTTTCTTTAGAAACAATTGTTTTATTTCAGGCAATTGGCTGATGGGCCCTGGATTTTTCTTTTTTAAGCAGTTGACTTGTTTTCCCTAGATTTACTTATCTTGATTTTTTATTTCAGCCAGTGGAGTGCTGGGCCCTAGATTTACTTATCTTGTGTTTTCTTTCATTCAGTTGACTGTTGAGCCCTGGATGTACTTGTCTTGTGATCTATTTCAGGCAATTTACTTGTGAGCCCTGGGTATACTTATCTATAAAATGTTTCAGGCAGTTGACTAGTGGGCCCTGGGTTATACTTATCTATGAAATGATTCAGGCAGTTGACTGGTAGGCCCTGGGTATACTTATCTATGAAATGTTTCAGACAGTTGACTGGTGGGCCCTGGGTATACTTATCTATGAAATGTTTCAGGCAGTTGACTGGTAGGCCCTGGGTATACTTATCTATGAAATGTTTCAGACAGTTGACTGGTGGGCCCTGGGTATACTTATCTATGAAATGTTTCAGGCAGTTGACTGGTGGGCCCTGGGTATACTTATCTATGAAATGTTGGCCGGTTACCCACCATTCTTTGACGATAATCCTTTTGGAATATACGAAAAAATTCTCAGGAATAACAACAATTTCAAACTATTAACATTTTAACGTTTCATAATTGTTAAAAAACTTTATTAAACTACTTAGGCTAAATTATTCTGAAGTTTATAAAACTTTTAATTTAAAACTTTTAATTTAAAATCTAGTTTGCAAATAATACTCATTAATAAAAGAAAATAAAGTACAGTGATAACCAAAAAACTGTGGAATATGAAGTCGACATTAAAGCAATACTTAAGTGCATTTGATGTTGTTACAAAGCGAATACCTTTACTAGTGAGTTATTAAATCACTTATTACATGAAATGGGTCTGTTTATACTGCACAATTATTGTGCCTCATGTTCATTAGAATATCTAAAATCATAGATTGAGTCTAAAAGTCGACATCCTATTCCAGAGTTTTCTGGTTATAACTTTAAGAAAAAAAAATTTAAAATTGTGTGTTGAAAATGTTGTTTTTAAAGTGGAAAGATTGACTGGCCCCGGCATATTGATCCAGTAGCTAAAGATCTCATAAAAAAGCTTCTTGTTCAGGCAGACCTGATTGAAAAACATATTTTTTGAAAAAGTATTTTAAATTTAAATGGCATTGTGTTTTTTCAATGTCGCATGTATTCACAAAGCATATGTGTTCAGGGAAACAGTGTGCAAAAAATCATTAAATAATTTTTTTATTATTTTCAAAATTATTGTTTATATTTGAAAACTTTAGAATTGGATACCTTTAATCCCAATCGCTTAATCTGAATATCCAATGTAGACACTTTTAATTTCCTTCTTAATCTGCTTTTTCTTTCTTTTTCCCTCCCTGCCAATTGTTGACCAATAAGAGTTCATTCATGAAATGGCGCGCAAAATTTCAAATTTCCCGGTTCCTCTGATTGGCTGTTCTGCTTTTCAAAAACCCCACTCGATTGATTTTTTTGAGACAATCAAATTAATCTTGAAATTAATAAAAAGAGAAGATCAAGCATTGATCTCGATATTCAAAATTCTAAAGTTTTAAGCTCAGTATATACACTGTAGACACAGAGAAAATCAAAATAAATGATATTTTAAAATTATTTTAAACGTAATTTTTTTTTCATGCTAAAAACTGAATGACTGGTACAGTGATCACATTAAGAGTTATCATTAATTTTTGTGATGCATGAAATTGATTGTTAATGGGAACGGAAATATTACATAAATTATAAATATCATTAAATAGATTCTCCGAAATATTAACGTAAATCATATTTTTACTGTAAATTAAGAAAAACCTCTCTTCTAATAGAATGACGATAATGTTCATCAGAAATATAAAATTAGCGACTTCAAGAAAATAAATGTCTTAAAGTAAACATGGGAACCGAGTGACGACTGACAACTTTAAAAATGTCGGTTTCGGCGAAATGTTTTCTGAACATCTGTTAAACTTTGTTAAAACTCTTCAATTTATCATAAATGGAAACTAATGAACATGGAATTTTCCAAGTTTCTTTTACATCCATGATATATTAAACAGTCCACTATGAACACTTTCTCGCATTCGCTCCTTTTTTTAACAAAATAAATCACATCAAAATGCAAAATAAACTACGGAGAAAGTTAACGATTTTAAAAATACATTTAAAAAGAAAAATCTTTGAAAAAACGGAAGAATCTCCTTTAAAAAAACACGGAAAAATTATCTTTTTAATCGGGAAATACATTTGAAAAGAAACGTGAAATTCCAGTCCTGATGTAACGCACACCTGAGATATTAACTGTAGTAAAATGTTTAAATGCAATCCATGGTTTTAAATTGCTCAACCATGAATATGCTAAATCTGCAAACCCGTTACAGGGCGTATTGCAAATAAGTGCAAATATGGTCACGTTGATATTTTTGCATTGAATGAATGGGTAATTTTTTAAAGCTTCTGCAGTAATTTTCACCCAGAATTACAAAGCAAAAATTAAAGGTTTTGACAAAAATATGATTTATATTCAGAATTTAATAATCATAAACTTTTTTGTACTTTTTACACATTATCAAAGTTTTCTGCAATTTGTTTTATTTTTAGTGACATTTTTACCATTGACAAATAATTCTTGGCTTTTCTGTTTTTTAATGGAAAAATTAAATAACCAGAAGATTTTTAATATATTTGCTTCTCTGAACCAATCCCAAACTTTTAGAAAACTTTAGACAATTTTTACTGTAATGCTTCCATTAAACTTTATTGCAATGTTTCCCTTAATCATTACCGCAATATATCCGTTAAAACTTTATTGCAATGTTTCCTTTAATCTTTACCGCAATTTATCAGTTAAAACTGTATTGCAATGTTTCCCTAAATCTTTACCGCAATATATCCGTTAAACTTTATTGCAATGTTTCCCTTAATCTTTACCGCAATATATCCGTTAAAACTGTATTGCAATGTTTCCCTTAATCTTTACCGCAATATATCCGTTAAACTTTATTGCAATGTTTCCCTTAATCTTTACCGCAATATATCCGTTAAAACTTTATTGCAATGTTTCCCTTAATCTTTACCGCAATATATCCGTTAAAACTTTATTGCGATGTTTCACTTAATCTTTACCGCAATTTATCCGTTAAAACTTTATTGCGATGTTTCACTTAAACTTTACCGCAATATATCCGTTAAAATTTATTGCAATGTTTCCCTTAATCTTTACCGCAATATATTCGTTAAACTTTATTGTAAAGTGTGCCCTAAAATGTTATCGCAAAGTGTTCATTAAAACTGTATTGCAATCTTTCCCATAAAACTTTATCGCAATATGTTCCTTAAAACTCTTTGTAATGTAATCCTTTGAACTATATCACATCTTTTCCCTTAAACATTAACACAATGCATAACCCCTTAAACTTTATCACAATAAATCACTTAAATCTTTAATGCAAAGTGTTCCTTAAAACTTTATTGCAATCGTTTCCTTAAATCTTTAATGCAAAGTGTTCCTTAAAACTTTATTGCAATCGTTTCCTTAAATCTTTAATGTAAAGTGTTCCTTAAAACTTTATTGAAATCGTTTCCTTAAAACTTTATCGCAATATGGCCCTTAACACTTATTGTAATGTAATCCTTTGAACTTTATCACAATGTGTCTCTTAAAACTTTTTCATGATGTTTTCCTTAAAACGTTATCGCCAAGTGTTCCCTAAAATTTTATCACAAAGTGTTCCTCAACACTTTATCGCAATGTGTCCTTTTTTGCTTTATCCAAATGTTCGTTTCACTTTAACGCAATATCCCTTAAAATGTTGTTGCAAAGTTTCCCTTTAAACTTTATCCCAATATGTCACTAAAAACTTTATTGGAAAGCGTTTCTTAAATTTTGATCGCAAAGTTTTCCTTAAAACTTACGATGTGTCACATTTTGCTTTCTCGTAACGTTTGTTTTAACTATGTCGCAATGTTTCGTTTCCCTTAACACTTTCTTGCGTTGTTAATCGTTTTTTAAAACAATCGTTAAACGACCGTTTCTTGTTTCGTTTTTCAATCGCTTTCAAAAACGATCGTTTCGTTTTTGGGACAAAACGATCGTTTTTAAAAACGACACACTCGTTTTGAACTTTTAAAAAACTAATAACGATCGTTTTTGAAAACGATCGTTATTTTAAAAACGATTTGCGACCGTTTTTTATACGATTGTTTTTTTAAAAACGATTTCTTATGAAAAACGATCGTTTTTGAAAAAACAATTTTATTGACAATTATGTTAAGGATGGTTAACGAAGGGTCGTCGTTAACGATCATTAACGAAGGGTTCTCGTTAACGATCGTTAACGAAACGACGAACTTTATAAAAACGGTCGTTTTTGAAAAAAAAATTTCATGCAATTGTATTGGATGTCTGAAGTTACAAAAGTTGTGGGGAAGCTAAAACTTCTTGATATTTTCTTAAAAACTATTCAATGATAAGTACAGATGCCCTTCAGGTCAGTTTCCTCTCTTCGTTAACGATCGTTAACGAAGGTATTGTCGTTAACGAAACGACGATCGTTCTAAAAACGAACATTTTTAAAAACGATTTTTTTTTAAATCGATTGTTTTTAAAAACGACCGTTTCGTTTTCGATTTTTCGTCGTCGTTTTCATTACGAAACGATAGTTTTTCAAAAAAATAAAACCTTAACATCCCTACTTCCACAATGCCCCTTTAACATGTATCGCAATGTTTCCCTTAACAATTTCTTGCACACTGCCCCTTTAACCTGTATCGCAATGTATCCTATATTAAACTGGTCTGTATCGCAATGTATCCTATATTAAACTGGTCTGTCTAACAGGATAGAACTAAAAGACTGGGAAACATGAAGAACAGTACTGACGAGGTGAAAAGACACAGGTAAAAACAAAACATAATTTTTTTTGCATTTATCTATTAATTTTTTCATCTTGTTCTTTGTTATCCATAACAAGAAAAATATTGAAGTAAAAAGATCATTATAACAAAAAATGTCCGCCATATTTTGGGTAATATCTAGAAAATCATGTTGCCATTAATGGAATAGAGTTTTGCCACAAATTCTGATTTTCTTATCCATAAAAATTTGCAAAGTAATGTCGTAGATCTTAGATATTTCAAACTATAAAATCTGTTAGATCAAATAAAGATATAGAGATTAGATAATCTGAGTTTTTGTCTGTGGCAAAGACTCAATTCCTAGATTCCAGTATTCATTGAATATTGATTGTTCCCGTTGTTTCAAATTATCCTATATTTTAAAGAATACGGACAGTATGTTGAAGTTATCCCTATTTTTTCACCTTAAAATTTATTATTTGAAATCGTAGTTTTCTATAAAAGCGACATATGGATTTATGCAGCAGTAGAGAAAAAAGGGAAATTGTCAGAATCTAACACTTTGTCCGATGGAATAACAACGATAATCCTGCTTGTTGCTAAGATAGTGGTTTCAAGGGTACTGTTTTGAATCTCTCTAATAATGAAGTGTCTTTTTAAAATTACGTCTGCAGTTCTTGTAGAAACATATTTTAATAATGATTTTCAATTTTTTTTTTTGAAAGATAAATGACTGATAATTTTTAAAATCATAAAAAATTTACTAATCTTAGGTAAATTTCACCTTTAAAAGTTCTTTTTACTTGAATATTAAGAAAGTTGGATGTGAAGTCAATGTGCTTAACTGGTTTACTAGGAGGGAGGGAAGTGTTAAGGTGTAAAGTTTGCCAAATAATGGGAAAACTTCATGAACTCTGAACCTCTAACAATTCTAAGCTTTACAGAGTCATAAAAAAGTTTTTTTTAGATGGTTCAAGGGAGTTGACTGGGAGGAGGTGTATTACAGGAACCTCAAGCCTCCGATCGTCCCCAAAGTGGCATTCGAGGGGGACACAAGAAACTTCGACGACTACCCAGAGACGGACTGGCGCAAGGTGCCGCCCGTGTCGGAGCGGGAATTACGAATGTTCGTGGATTTTTAAATCCGTTCAAATATAGTTCGCGCCAAAAACATGAATTTTCAGTTGCTTTTGTCGTGGAAAAAAAAGTTTGTTTCCACAGTTACAAACATAACCGAGCTGAGTCAGTTTTAAACGGTTGAACTAGTTTGTATTTAACCAACCAAATCCAACATTTTCGTAAAACTGAGAGCGGTAAAAAAAGTCAGATCTGTAAAATAATCAAATAGTGTAGATAAATATGATTTTTAAAACGTGAATTCAATTAGCTTTAGCTGTTCTATTGAATTATACTTAGTATTAAAGCTGTAAAGTAGATACGCAGGCCAGGGTGTCCCCAAAAAACATAAAAATAAATTGAATGCTTGTATATCAAGTTATTCTTTAAAGAAACCGTCTCCTTATTTTCATATTTACTTTACGTCAATACTTTCTGCACCTTCACATCGTTTAATCAAATTTACAGAAGAATTTTTTGTGATATAAGTTAAACAGCTTTTTAAGTGGATAAAGATAAACATTGCATACAGTTGAAAAAAACTATGGATATGTGTCAATGCAAATAGTTTTAAAAAAGCACGATACGCGAAAATTGTACATTTTTAACAAAATGTGTAAATAAATGAACTGTATTTTCTTGAGTTTAAAACTAAATTTAGAAACATTTAAAATACTCAGGACATTTTGTCGAAGTCTAATTTTAACCCAGATTCCTACTTGATAGAAAAGACCATAAATGTGAATAAATCTACGAAAGAAAAAAAATATATCAGAAACCACAAATGAACAAAATAATTTGATTAAAACAATTTGGTTTTTAGAATAGAGAATATATTTTAATCCGCTAATTTTATCTGTGATTTTAGTCATTTTTGTTAACATTAAACTCAGTATTGCGGTTCCAACTTTAACTTCATGTATGCAGTACATAATTCCTTGTAACAGTTAATTACGTCAACTCTGTTCTGTACCCTATGTACAGTTTATCAATTTATCTGTACAAAGTTCTCATTCAAAATAAATTTATGTTCAATTTTTGAATTTACATTTGTATAAAACATCTTTCATCTCGTAAGTTAGAAAACATGAAAATGTAGAAATGTAGCAATGTAAGAGAAAAAAAATAAATGTGAATGCATAAAATGTCAAGATATCAGTAGAAATGTAGGAATGCAGGATGGAAAAAAAATAAATGTATGAAATGTCAAAATGTCTGTAGAAATGTAGGAATGTAGTAGAAAATAAAGGAAGAAAATTGAATGTATAAAATATATTTAAATATCTCCAGAAATGTAGGAATGTAAGTAGAAAATAAAGGAAGAAAATTGAATGTATAAAATATATTTAAATATCTCCAGAAATGTAGGAATGTAGTAGAAAATAAAGGAAGAAAATTGAATGTATAAAATATTTAAATGTTTCCAGAAATGTAGGAATGTAGTAGAAAATAAAGGAAGAAAATTGAATGTATAAAATATTTAAATATCTTCAGAAATGTAGGAATGTAAGTGGAAATAAAAGAATAATGAAAATGAAAATATTCTTTGATTTAACTTTGGTCTAAGTTTAAGTGGAAACGGAAAGTTAGTTTTAGAGTTTAAACATGAAACTATTCAGATGGAAAATATATATATATATATTTAAAGGGATTGAAGGCGTATTTTAACGTGACCTAACTATTTATAAAGTATTGTGTTAACAGAACAGTTACTATAGAATCCGCACTGACACGTAGTGCCGTCTGACAGGCCGGTACGTGTCATTTGAAAGTGCTCAATGCCGCAGACGTCTATGTAAAAATGTACAATGGGCAAGAAAGAAAATATTTGTTTTCCATATTTACTAAGTCTAAGTTCCAGCCTTGCTCCCTGGACCCACTGCTGTGGAGAGTTTTTTGTGCAGACAACGATGTGCACAACTTATAAAATGACCTCATCTTCTGCAGGTCGATTGATTGATTACTTGGAAATATACCACGCACCCCTGACCCTTTAGTGAAAGTAAATTCAACCTGAAGTCTGACCGTGTCAACCTTCTTGCACCGGTTAGTCCTATTGAGTGTCTGTTTTATTTAACCGATGTCCTGCCGATACGATACAAACTTGGACCGGAAAGGCTCGGAAATTCAAATGTACTACAGCTGCTCGTGATACATCTATTTGCAACTGTATGATTAGAAAATCCCTTTCGAGCCACTCGGGTAGGACGGTCCGAGTCAATGCTTCTATTCTATATTATCAGTTATGTGGGAGTATCCAGATTAAAACATTACCCTGTAAACCTTTAATTGATCATTGATCATTGACTTATCTTTATTTTTCTATAGAAAGAAGCGCTTGTAAATGTTGATTTGCAATCTGCTTTATGTTCCAGAAATATCAACATCCTTCATGTCACAGAAGATAAATATTTCTATTTGAACTCTTGAACTTTGTTAGACATGTCTCCTCAGATTCAAATCTTACATGTTTTTATTGAGAACCGTTTTGAATCTAAATTTACACCTTCAGTCCCTTTAGTTGAGCTCACAAATTGTTTCTTGGAGAGGGGTCGAGAAACGCCACAAACTTTACATATTTACCTCTCCTGCTATATATGTAGATTGTAGATCTAATGACCGTTTTAATTACATGGTTTCTGCCAAACTATCCTTAGTTCAGACTGGCGGAGCAAGTATAGAACTTAAAGGGACTTTCGGCGATAATTAAAGAGACTCTTAACGAAATTCAAAGGAACTCTTGACGAAAACAGGTGAAATATACGTCATGAAAATATGTAGATTGTAGATCTATTGTCCGTTTTAATTACATGGTTTCTGCCTAATTAGTAATTATCCTTTGGTTCAGACTGACGGAGCAAGTATAGAAGTTTAAAAGGACTATTGAAGAAAATCTAAATTTGTCTTTTACATGATCGGAAGTTTACTAAACATTCCAACTTTAGAGAGAAGAAAACAAATAAAATATATTTCTCTTATACTGTCCGAAGGACAAACAATATCTTCCAAACTATTTATCACATAAAGGTTTCAAAGGGACCGTTCTCAACCAGAAATTGCTATCTTTGCACTGAGGGTCACATAAAATGACGCTTACAGTCCCTTTAATAGCAAAATTAAATCAAACATAACTTGCAAAAATAGTAGACATTGATGCTATAAATGGACACTAAACGGTAAGCCATGGTTAAAATACAAATATAAAAGTTTAACGTTAATTATAAAGTGATTGTTCATCTATTTCACACAATGCCCTTTATTTTTGGGATCAAAAACACAACTCAAATACGTTTCTCAGGCCCAAATGATCAACACTTTTATCGAAAATGTACATCGCGTTTTATGGCACTTTGCTAAAAACTTGAATTGTTTCCTGGATTTTCTAAATTTTTAAACAACATTTAAACCTTATTCAGTGATAACCAGTAAAACTCGAAATGAAAGTCGTCAACGTTTGATATCTCAAAAGAACTAAGAATTTGTAATTTTCAATGGCAATATCTATTATATCTCAGAAAATGTTTAGGAAATATTCAAAGTTTTATTTTTTATTCAATTTTAGACTGCTTATAACAGTCTAAATACAATACATTAATTAATAAAAATAAAAACGCAGCAAATAATATTATACAGGCGTAAAGACCTTTCAAAACTTCTTGGATCGGCAAAGAAATAATAGTTTACAGCTACCCTGACCTTTAAACTATATAATTCATGATACAAAACATTATATATTTATTAACCATTAACCCACACTGCAAATTTAGCATTAAAATATCTTATTGCAATCAACAGGAGTAGTGGAGGGGGGGGGGCTATAAATACAAAACAAGAATAAAGGGAAGGGGGACAAAATGAGTCCAAAAAGATTAATGGTTAAAATCAAGATGGGTTGCACTGCATAGTATGAGACAGACGGACAAGGTAAAGTTTATGCAAAACTACTTGTAAGACTTTTTGACCTCGTAGCTTCTCTAGTTTTTATTTTACACAGGTATGAAAGAAAATATTTGTCTGGTTACATATTGGAAAAATATAAAAAGAAGAAGAATGGAATTACAAGTAATAAAGGAGAAGGATGGTATAACAAGTAAAAAGAAGAAGAATGGAATTACAAGTAATAAAGGAGAAGGAGGGAATAACAAGTAAAAAATGAGAAGGTGGGAATAACAAGTAAAAAAGGAGAAGGTGGTGAAACAAGTAAAAAAGTAGAAGGAGGGAATAACAAGTAAAAAAGGAGATGGTGGGAATAACAAGTAAAAAAGGAGAAGGTGGGAATAACAAGGAAAAAAGAAGAAGGTGGTGAAACAATTAAAAAAGGAGAAGGAGGGAATAACAAGGAAAAAAGGAGAAGGTGGGAATAACAAGGAAAAAAGGAGAAGGTGGGAATAACAAGGAAAAAAGAGAAGGAGGGAATAACAAGTAAAAAAGGAGAAGGTGGGAATAACACGTAAAAAAGGAGAAGGAGGGAATAACAAGGAAAAAAGGAGAAGGTGGGAATAACAAGTAAAAAAGGAGATGGTGGGAATAACAAGTAAAAAAGGAGAAGGTGGGGATAACAAAGAAAATAGGAAAAGGAGGAAATAACAAGTAAAAAAGGAGAAGGAGTTGAAGAAAAGTTTATGTCAGAACTCAGAATGTTGTAAACTTATTTAAGTATGATGGAATTGGCGTGAGTTTAAAATCTAATAAACTCCAGATTCGGAGATTCATTGTAAACAAGAGGGAACTCAGTTTTGGACAGTGCAAAAGTTTTTTTTATTTTTTAGCGAAACAATGTCTTCTGTGATTTCATTTTCATTGGGACACACTGCACTTTAATTCTTGTAAATGATAAAATGTACCTATCTTTCTCTTCTTAATAAAAACTTTCACTTAAAGGGACAGACCAGCTATGTAAGGTAGTTAAACTGAGCATGCAGTATTGTGGACAAGTTCTTTGGGATTCATTTGAGACATATAAAACTTTTTAAAGATCTGTAAATCCAGAGTTTGAGCGCAAAGTCGACGTTCAAAATCATGAATTTGGGTGGGTTCGTTTACAGAATCTTTTTTTTATTATTATTAAATAACGACGACAAAAAATATAGTAAAAATTCTATAGTAAGCTAATTAGAAGTCTGTTCCTTTAAGGTAGAATACTTTATTATATGATTAAAAAGTATATCTTAAGTAAAATTTTATCAAAAAGGGGAAATCTTTTTATCAAAAAAAGTAATATTGTTTAATTCGTACGCTAGCACAAGTGTTGGAAAAAAATCAGATTTAAAATTGAAAATTTATATATATCAGATTTATTGTAAACAAGAGGCAGTGCAACAGTTTTTTTTATTTTTTAGCAAAAAATGTCGTCTTTGCTCCATTTTTATTGGGGGAAACACTGAAATTTTTTTCTTTTAATTAACGTATGAAACACTAAAAACTTTCATTTGATGCTGAATACTTTAGTAGCGCGCTCGAATTCTAAGATTAAAAATATTCTTACAGACATTTTATCAAAAAGGTTAAATCATCAGTAGGCTAGCAAATTAAACTCCAAAAACTGTCTTGACGCAGAATACTGTATTAGCTTAAATTCTATGATTGAAAAGTATATATTTTGCGTAAAATTTTATCAAAAAGGGAAAAAATTAAATACTGTGCATTAGCAGGCTAACAAATTAAACACCAAAGATGTGTCTTCTGTGATTTTATTTTTAATGAGAAACACTGCCCTCTAATTCTTGTAAAAGATAAAATGTACCTCTCTTTCTCTTCTAAATGAATACTTTCATTTGAGGCAGAATACTTTATTAGCTTGAATTCTAAGATTAAAAAGTTTTTATCTTAAGTATAGTTTTATCAAAAAGAGAAAATCTTTTAATCAAAGAAAAAATGGTATTTTCATTTCAAAATTGTAAATACTTTTAACTTTATTGGGAAACCATGTAGGAATAAATTCAGATTTAAAAATAAAAATTTAATTATATTTATACTTTAGGGCAGGCTAGAACACATTTAATTGTATTTATACTTCAGGGCAGGCTAGAACACATTTAATTATATTCATACTTTAGGGCAGACTAGAACACATTTAATTATATTCATACTTTATGGCAGACTAGAACACATTTAATTATATTCATACTTTAGGGCAGGCTAGAACACATTTAATTATATTTATACTTCAGGGCAGACTAGAACACATTTAATTATATTTATACTTCAGGGCAGACTAGAACACATTTAATTGTATTTATACTTCAGGGCAGGTTAGAACACATTTAATTGTATTTATACTTCAGGGCAGGCTAGAACACATTTAATTATATTTATACTTCAGGGCAGGCTAGAACACATTTAATTATATTCATACTTCAGGGCAGACTAGAACACATTTAATTATATTTATAGGGCAGGCTAAAACACATTTAATTGTATTGTAAACTCCATTGTTACTCTTCACGTCAGTTTCCACATACTGCAGCAGATCCTCCTAATCATTCATTCATTAAATTATCCTTTAATCCTTTCATCCTTTCATAGATTCATCTTTTCATAAATTCATCCTTTCATAAATTCATCCTTTCATCCTTTCATAGATTCATCCTTTCATAGATTCATTCTTTCATAGATTTATCCTTTCAAAGATTCATCCTTTCATAGATTCATTCTTTCAAAGATTCATCCTTTCATAGATTCATCCTTTCATAGATTCACCCATTCATAGATTTGTTAGCTTTCATAGATTCATCCTTTCATAGATTCATCCTTTCATAGATTCATCCATTCATATATACATCCTTTCATAGATTTATACATTCATAGATTCATCCTTTCATAGATTTATCCATTCATAGATTTATCCTTTCATAGATTCATCCTTTCATAGATTTATCCATTCATAGATTCATTCTTTCATAGATTTATCCATTCATAGATTCATCCTTTCATAGATTCATCCTTTCATAGATTTATCCTTTCAAAGATTCATCCTTTCATAGATTCGTCCTTTCATAGATTTATCCTTTCATAGATTCATCCTTTCATAGATTTATACATTCATAGATTCATCCTTTCATAGATTTATCCATTCATAGATTTATCCTTTCATAGATTCATCCTTTCATAGATTTATTCTTTCATAGATTCATCTTTTCATAGATTTATCCTTTCATAGATTCATCCTTTCATAGATTTATTAGCTTTCATAGATTCATCCTTTCATAGATTTATTAGCTTTCATAGATTCATCCTTTCATAGATTCATCTTTTCCTAAATTCATCCTTTCATCCTTTCATAGATATATCCTTTCATAGATTCATTCTTTCATATATTTATCCTTTCAAAGATTCATCCTTTCATAGATTCATCCTTTCATAGATTTATCCTTTCATAGATTCATCCTTTCATAGATTTATTCTTTCATAGATTCATCTTTTCATAGATTTATCCTTTCATATATTCATCCTTTCATAGATTTATTAGATAATTTTCTTTCATAGATTCGTTAGAGAATTTCTTTCATAGATTTATCCTCATATGGGATTTACTTTATAACAGCTGAGGTTTAAAAAGTCGTTGTTGTAAGTAAAATAACTCTTTTTGGACAACTTAAAAAAATTAAGAAAATAATGATGATATTTACATAGTTGCAATCTGCCTCCTCAAATTTGTTAGCATTGCACCAGTTCACATTCATCGTTGCCTGAATATATAATTTGATGTACCGTTTACACTATACATGAATGCATGTACAATGTAGATAAGAAAATACTCTGTACTGTACAATATAAGTTATAACTGTACAGTGTACACTGTACAGTATAACTCTAAATTGTAAGGTATAAATGAAAAGTGTACAGCATAATTGTACATTGTGCAAGATAACTGTACGTTGTACAGAATAACTGTACATTGTACAGTATAACTGTACTTTGTACAAGATACAATATTCTGTACACTCTACTGTGTACACTGTACATCATAAAGTATACACTCTACACTGTACAGCATAAGTATACACTCTACACTGTACAACATAAGTACACACTGTACAGTATATACACTATACACGATACATCATACAATTTGATTATACAACGGTTTGTATTTATCTTAACATATATGGTGGCTATAAATTTGGATTTTCAGGACTTCAATGCAATCATTTAAAATGTGAATACTAAAGATACATGGCTTTTACCATTGATAAAGATAGACTGCGCATAAGACGACATTTTTCATCTTGAAAGATATAAATGTACAGAGATGTTTTAAAGATATTCCTATTATATAGATTAACTAGGTCGGTTGTGAACATTGGCTGTTCTTATGTCATTAAGTACTTGTGGTGTACATGAGTTCTGTAGAGAGAAATTTAAGTTAGTTTAGTCCTTCTCATGTCCTTCTTCAGTTCTCGTCCATATGATATATTGCTCAGTGAAATATTGTTGTTCAAATAGTTCCATTCCCGGAGTTATTTTACACTATTATGAAATCCATTAAAACACCAAACCACCCCGCTTATCATTGAAGACACTTTTACCCCTAGAGGTATGAGTTCGCGGACTGTATAATTCTTGGTGATTTTGCGTACATAAGCTATCTATATTTATTTATTTATCTATGGCTTTTACACTGATCTAAAGTTTGCAAGCTCTCAGGCAAAAGTCGATGCGTTAAGTGTATGAAGTCGTCTTCCATTCCACAACTTTTTGGATCCCATTGCATAAAATGTACTACATATATAGAGGGTTAACCAAAAAGGATGAGATTGTAAAAACGACCTGAAAGTGTTACTTGGAGACTTCTGCCTGGACTAACGTTGTTTCCTTGAAAAAAAAATATGTTGAAAAAAAATCAGATTCAGGAAATTATTAACACAAGGAAGCAGGCAGTATAGATTCTATAAAGTCGTCTCTAAGTCTCATTCTTTGTGGGTAACCCTGAACAATGGAGTACATTTAAAGCCTTTCCCTGTTTTCTCAACATAAAATGCTATTGACAAAGAAAATTCATTTCTTTTGTTAAGAATCTTTGAATAGTTAGCGTGAAAGAAACAAGCTTTTTTATTCTCATTTTATCTAAAAAATGTAGATAGATTGATGATAAATGAATGATTCAACTTTGACTTAGAAATTAAGTTTCTCTCAGAAGTTAAAAAAATTCAAAACAAAAATGCATATATACAAGATTCGGTCGCACTGATATCTGGACAACTATGAAGGTTATTCATCAGATTTTAAGCCGTCGCAACCAAATTACCTAGTCACTTATAATTTTTTGTAGTCCTAGACATTCTTAAAACTGCAAATCCCTTGTTTCTAGCGTAGGTTTAAAAGAAACAGGCGGCATGATACTGTTCCATTTTTTAATGAGAGTGTGCACTTCTTGGTTTGCAGTGGTCCGGTCGATTTAGGCCACAGAATACACAGACTGCCTATCTCCTTTCACAGCGTGGGCTACGCAGGCTTAAGTTAACCCGGCACAACATGCTACGTTTTTACGATAGGTTTTTAGAGTGCCATCTCACGGCCACTTGTTAAACAATACTCATTCAGGGGTTAAATTTTACAACTTTTACAATTACAAGACATAGAGAAAGCCTGTTCTAGCTCCTTTGGAGAAAAAGAAAAGAAAAGAAATTATAAATCTATGGTTTAGATGTAGTTTTTGATAGCTTACCGAACACTCATCAGGTTTAAGCTGATAACAAATCCAATTTTTCACAGAGGCTTTTTTGCTAAGATTCTCATAGGTACTAAACATGTTTTTAAACAATAATAAATTTTTTAAAAACTGGTTTTCAAACAATATAAATATATTTGATTGTATTGCATGTCATCAAAACATTTTCTCTAAAAAGGGCAAAATTTAGCAGGGTCATCTTAAGCATGAAAAAATCATTTTTCCTTCTAAAGGGACTGTTAAAGTAATTTTCAAGTGTTCCTCAATTTAATTTAACATGTTCAAAGATATAAAAACGACAATATCTTAGTAATTGTTGCTCAGCTAAAGGTGTAAAATAACTGTCTGATTCTGATTTTCTTATTTCTATACATTTGCTACAATGTCGCAGACCTTAGATATTTCAAACTATTTTTCTGGATCAAATAATATGAGTTTATACCATCAGGTTGCAATGTTAAAGGGATTAATGAATTTGAATTTGTGATAAAGACTCAATCCTTTATTTTATATGTTACCGTGGATATGCCGGACTGAGGGTGAGAAGAAGCAAAAAAACTAAAATTGAAAAAAAAATGATTTTATCGAATGAAATCTGAAGTTTTTAGATAATGGAATATAATTTTGTATTAAATAATAATTCAAATTAGGGTGGGTCTCCTTAACTGTAAACCCATAAAATTCTAAGAACTTACCAAAAAAAAAAAAAAATTCGCGATTAAACCAGAGCCCGCGATTTAAAAAAATCGGGTCTAAGCTGTCGTTGGGCCCTATTTACGGCTTGAGTTTTAGGATTCAACCTGCATCTTATTTTCCACAGAGTTGAGTTTTAAAAAATGGTTTATTATTCTATTTGGCGGATTTTTATGGAAGGAATTGGCGCATTCCGGGTTTATATGAGAACGAAAGTCAACATTGAGCCTTATCCTCTACTAAAACCAACCAAGGTTGGCTTTATTTTCATTGGGCCTAACTCCTTAAGTCGAGCCGAAGATCTTGCAGCTGTCAATCACGTGACACAAGCTGTTGTCAGAGTTGGGTAGAAAATTGGGTTTTAAAGTCGGGTTTATGGAATTACGGCTCGAGTTGAAAAAACGATATTTGGTTTTTTCTGACTCTGTTTTTACCCGGCCTAGACTTTAATCATATATAAACACAATATTCCCCATACATTGATAATTATTTCACCTTTGACAATACCAACTCGGCAATCCATCGTGAACTAAAGAAACCACTTAACTACCAGTTTTTCTTACTACTAAAATCATCCTTATAGTGAAAGAAAGCTTAAAAAATATTTGTTTTTCAATATTTGTCCTAAACTAATTTTGTAAAAAATACAATTTTGGCAAAATGGTGCTTTTTTAGCCTCCTTAGAATAATACGAAATTTGAGACAATAATGTAAATTCCATGTATACAATTCTCAAAGTAGAAACATTAGATTGCTTTTCAATAGATGGAAAACTGTTGGTTTTAAAAACTTTTATATTCAAGGGGGGGTTGGTTCATAATAGTGAAATATAAAAATAAATAATTTTCAAAAAAACAAGCTTAACACCAAGCAAAATAAGGCCCTCGCGCTAATGCACTTTCTTTAGGGGGGTTTTAAATATTTAACAAATCATAAAGTTTAAATTACAAAGTTATTTAATTTTCAAAATTTCAAACCATTAAATTTTAGAGGTCAAATTAGTGTTGACAAAATTAAAATTAGTGCTCCCTAACTTCTATAAAGTGTTTATCATATTTTGAAAAAAAAAGCTTTATTCGTGCCGCCCTAAAAAAACAATATTTACAACCCTATCTTTGGATCGTATTTGTATACATCTTTTCTCAATTGAATTTGGCATGAGCCCCTTTCTGATGAAGGTAAAAAGACAAAACCCACCTTTCCTCAAATCACAGAATTTTATTTCAATAATTTGTTTGTGTGAGCTAATCTATGAAAAAGTTTAAGTTGATTAAAAAAATAAAAGTTTTTATTTTTTGTTTGAAGAAATGCAGTTAGAAAATAAAAGAATAAAGTTAAGACTAAGTCGAGTTTCTCTCTGTATTTTCAGCTTAAAACGTGTTTTTAAATCATCTTATATTTATTGGATTTAGTTGTTTGTTAAAAAAGATAAAAAATATAAGATAAAAGGTCGAATGGAAGATTAAAGGTTATTAGTGTAAATTCTAATCCAGCACTATGATGCTGGTCTTATTCACTATTCTTGCTGCAGCAATTGGTAGGTTTTTCTTCACCCATCGTCTTTTCTTTCTACAAGTTTGCCATTTGTTCGAATTTTTCTTAGAGGTTTTCAAAAGTTTGTTTAAAAATCATACGTATATTGTACAAATGTAAACTGTTCAATATATATAAATGTTTCGCTACTTAGCGAATTCCCTAAAGACCTAATGAAATCTATAAGTACCGAGTGGTATTTCTCTGGATAGGATTGTAAGGCTTCCTTCTCTCAACGCTCTCCATAACACAAGGATGATAATAAGGTTCCGAACGTTTATTTCTCTAAGCCTTCAATCTAAATAATCTTTTATAAGCCAACAGAAAAAGCATTGAGTGATAAATCATACAAATATAGCAATAAATCCACTCAGGCATTAAAAAACTGTGGCAAGGAACCCATACATTACATGATACAATATCAACCATAACCGAACATAAATAAACAATATTCATATAAATATAATCATAATTACCGCAGTGGTCCTAGAATATTCACACGGTTTAATAATAGACGAACATTACATGAAATATAACTGTATACAGAAGTAGAAACTGCTCGCTCCTACGCAGGGAACTTGCGCATGCGTAGTCGGACGGTAAACAGCTTCTCAAACTAGTTCTTCACAATACGTTCTGTACAGACCGTCAGGGGGAACTCAGAGAATCACAGGGGTATCACATAGACTTCATGAACGCAGCGTAGCTCGCGTAACAATAAACAACTTTTCACTTTGCGTAAAGTGCAAGGTACATAATCAACTTTTGCACGAAGTGTACAGTGTACAGTGTATAAAATTCACTTACAAAAATTATATAGTATACATAACCAACTTTACACTAGGTTTAAAGTGTAGAGTGCTATAGTGTACATAAACAACTTTACATTAGGAGCACAGAGTACAGTGTACATAATCGACTTTACACTAGGTGTACAATGTACAGTGCACATAATCTACTTTAAACTATGTGTACAGTGTACAGTGCACAAAACCAACTTTACACTAGGTGAACAGTGTAAAGATTATTTAAACAACTTTACACTAGGTGTACATTGTAAATTGTACATAAAAAACTTTACACTAGGAGTACGGTGTACATAACCAACTTTAAAATAGGCGTACAGTGTACAGTGCACATAACTAACTTTAAACAAGGTGTACAGTGTAAAGAGTACATAACTTACTTTACACTAGGTGTACAGTATAAAGTGTACATAAAAACTTTACACTAGGTGTACAGTGTACATAACTTGCTTTACACTAGGTGTACAGTGTAAAGTGTACATAAACAACCTTACACTAGGTGTACAGTGTACCTAACTAACTTTACACTAGGTGTACAGTGTAAAGAGTACAATGGAGACCAAGTGTACAGACTTGAAGTCCAGACTCCCAATCAGATTGAATATCTGCAGAACCTAGAGAATAATGGAGCTGATTTCTGGACTGAGGTATTAACTACTTTTATAATTATCATTATTATTGTTATCAATTGTAATTAATACACAATTTTGCAGGTGCATTTGTCCAATTTTGTGCACTGTAAAAAAAATCAACAATTTTCTTGAACTAAAAATCTAAAGTTTAAAGTATGAAAGTGCTTTATTTATGGAGTTATTGATTTTATATAGATTCGTCTTGGAACCGTGGATGTGAGGGTTGAGAGCGAAGGTAACAGAAAAAATAGCTCAAAGATTTATGAAAATTAGGACACTGATTATGTGTTGTATCTTTAGCGTCACAAAAATGTGTTACATCTAACATAGTCTAAAGTTTGATTCAATATAGTTACATTTTATAAATTAAAGAAGGGATAAAATTTTGTCAGAGTCACTACTTTGCATTTTTGTAATAAAATCAAACTTTTTAAGCAGCCAATTTTAAATTTCAGATTTATGTAAAGTTCCTTAAAAGCAAAAAAACTTAATTGTTCAAAAGAAGGAAAAAATTAGCCCTATCTAATAGTTTACAACATTGGTTTATTTTTTATTTTAAATTAATGTGTTTTTACATATTAACAAGATTAATAGTAACATTGCTAAAATATTTCACACCATCTGTCCTCAAACATTTTAAATTTTCTTGATTATTTTATGCTCTTTAAGCAATGACCTCTTCCTCTTATAGCCAGCTCTTATGGACACACAGCACAAAGTTATCTTTTTAGCTTTCAACCTTAGTTAATTGCACTTCAACTTTAGTTAATTGCACTTCAACCTTAGTTAATTGCACTTCAACCTTAGTTAATTGCACTTCAACCTTAGTTAATTGCACTTCAAAATTTTATTTAAAGTAAGAAGTGCCAAAAACAATCTTTTTAACAATAAAATGTTATAAAAATAAATTGATTAATGTTGTGAATGTGATTAGGCAAAGCTTTATTGGAGGAGGAGTTTCAGCGGCTTGGAATTCAGTTCTCTGTCATGATTAAGGTACACCACCAGCATAAGTTCTATGGGGTAGAGAGCAGTCTAAGATCTCAAATTTTATCTAAAATAATTTGTTGGAGCAACAGATCAAAGCTTAATTTGGCTCGGGTGCTAACACATTTTGTTTGATGCAAATTTGACATTTCTCAGAGTGGAGTAGGGGATTTTTTTAAGCATTTCAGGTTTTTTACTTTTAAAATTCTGTGATGGTGACGGACCAAACCTCTGTAGAGTAAAAAAGTAGATGTTAGTTCCACATTTATTGAAAATATATTTCGGTCTGGGTTGACCCTCGTTTGTTCTTGAGATTGTTTCATCACAAAGATTAAAAATTTTACTTTTAATAGGTACTAGCTGAAGGCGTTGCCTAGGGAAATTTTTTTATTTTTTTTAAATTAGAAAAAAAAAATATTAGACGAATTTTAAATAAAACATTTTCAATTTTTTTAGCCTGAGACACCCCCCAGCCACCCAGAGTATCCACAAAACATTTCAGCCTCTAGAAGTTTTTTTTCTTATTTTGTGCCAAATGAGATTTAATGAATTGCTGCCAACAATTTATCTTTTGCGCAAGGTAAAACTGAAGAAAAGTTGTTATATTTAGTTTAAGCAGTTTAACTGCTTCTCCTATTCATTAAATCTGGTCCCAGATTAAAGATATTACCCTAGAACTAAAAATAAAAATGATTAGCAGAACAGAAAAAATTTGTATCGTCAAATGGATTGACTTTTATACAGTTTATCTTTAAAATAAAATAGATGTTGTCCCACCCTTGGAAGAATGTTTGTTTGGTTTATTAATTTAAAATCCTCAGGATTTGGCTGGGCTAGTTCAAGAGAGCAAGTCATGGTTCAAAAAGGGAGACAAAACAAGGTGAATAAAAATAAAAAGGTAAAATTTCATATGATAAAAAATTGGAAATTCCAAAAATTTAAATTTCAGGACTGGAGCCAAACATGCTATGGATTGGACTTCTTACCATCCTGTAGAGGACATGCATGTAAGTTTACATTAACTTAATCATCTGAAATCAATAAACACAATCATTTCTGATTAGGATTTCATGGATTATCTAGCAGCTACATATGATTATGTATCAGTATCTTCCATTGGGGAGTCATATGAAGGAAGAGAAATGAGGGTAAGTGCATGAAGTGAATGAAAGGCAGCAAAGTCATTCAGTTTTTTATTTTGAATGATCAAGGGTGCTTAAAAAATAGGCCAAAAAAAGTGCTTTTGTCTTTGTTCAACTTTTTGTAAAATGTTTGTTGTATAACTTGGTCTATTTTTTATTTTGATTGTTTAAAATTTTATCGAAAAAAAGTATGATATCAAACTCTTTATTATTTTTTAGGACAAGGCATTAACTTTTTAAATGTTTTTTGTTTAGTCAAGACTTAAATTTGGCAGAAAACCTGTTTTTGCTAAACCTCTTTATATCTTGATGTTGAATAGGTTTTGAATGTGTGCAAAGGAGGATGTGGAAATAAGCCAGCTATGTGGATTGATGGTGGTATCCATGCAAGGTACCACATTCTCAAATTTCAACATTAACGTATTAACAAATATCTAGCAAAATTCCAATAATTGTGGGAATTCAAACACCATAAAAGTCACTACAGCAAAAGTACCCCCTACAACTAGTCACTGAACTATTTTAATTTGGAGAACCTTTCAGGAATATAGAACTTTATGTGGTATTCCAAATTGTGATTAAAGACTTAATCTTGGGGTGGGGGGGGATAAANGTGAATATTCAAATATGCACCTACGTGAATATTCAAATATGCACCAACGTGAATATTCAAATATGCACCTACGTGAATATTCAAATATGCACCAACGTGAATATTCAAATATGCACCAACGTGAATATTCAAATATGCACCAACGTGAATATTCAAATATGCACCAACGTGAATATTCAAATATGCAATGCACCTACGTGAATATTCAAACATGCACCTACGTGAATATTCAAATTTTTCAATAATAATGTAATATAATTTTAATGTGCTCATTTTCTAGTACTTTCCATTTTAATGTATCTAATTACAAGAGAGTGGGTTTCCCCTGCTACAGTTACCTACATGATGAATGAGCTGATTGAGAACGATGCTGAACATCCAGATCTAACTGAGGTAGCTTTCATTTTCAAAATGTTTTATGTAATTCTAAGATAAACCTCCATTTAAAGATTTACATCCCTTAAACAGCACCATTTAAACCCTTTCCTGTGTACAAATGAGGATATTTCAACGTCTACCGGGCAAAAAGATCTGTCATTACCAATTCATTTCTCTGCTAAAATTATTGACACATCCCTTCAACAGCAAACCTTTAATAAGAATACAGAAAAAAAGAATATTCCAATCTTTTTTGCTCAAATAAAGGTATTTGTAAATTTTGTTAATTGGGCATCCATTTTTTTAAATGAAATAAAATTTCATCAATCATTTCATTGAAAATTTGTAAATAATGTTTATATATTGTTGCTGTATATTTGAAATCTTATAACTTTTTGAAATATTAAAACCTGATTGTGCTGAGAAAAAAAAATCACATTTTTCTAGAACCTGGATTGGTATATTCTTCCATCCCACAACCCTGATGGATATGCTTACAGCATTGATAACGAAAGGTTAACTCTCAAACTTAATAAGATGTACATTTGATTGAGTAACTTGGCTAGTTGGGACTTGATATCTATAAATAAAGCTTTTAGTTTCTAGAGCTTATCTTGTAGGATGAATTAAAATTCTGGTCAAATGTTTAGATTATGGAGAAAGACCCGTGCTCCAAATGGAAATAGTTGTTTTGGAACTGATGCCAACAGGTATTTTATATTTGAAGTCTTCCTGTATTATTGTTTTAGTTGCATACTATGATTTAGTGCTTTAGATCCAGATCTAAATGATTTTAGATCCAAAGGACAGATCCAGCATTCTCAAAGCTGATCCTAAACAATGCTCTTATCAGTGCTTTGGATCCGGATCCAGATTTGTTTGATTTGCAACATTTTGGTTTCCTGAATTTAAGGGTCCAAAATCCTAATAAATATGAACTTGTTGCTTTCAAAGCACAAACTCAACTGTTAACTAATAAGCAATTATTAAAAACTTCACAATCTTTTCATTCAATGGTTCATTAAGCTCATGAAAGGAAATGAGTTTTGTCACAAACTCAAATTGTCTAATCCCTGTATCTTTACAATCTGATGATGTAAACCTTTGATATTTCAAACTAAGATTATTTTGGCTATCAGATTTCATATTTTGAAATATCAAAGGTCTACGACATTGGGTAGCAAAGATATAGAGATTAGAAAAGTAGATTTTGTGACAAAAACTCAATTTCTTTGTTTACGGTTCATAAAACATTAAATCTTAAAGAAATGTTTATTACTTGGATCTGGATTTATTTTTTTCAGAGCAGATCTAAATCCACAATAGGATCTACATAAAAATGAAATTTATCCTAGACACTGCTCATATTTACAAACACATGATAAAATATTATTTAGAAACTGGGGATTTCACTGGAATGAAGGAGGATCATCTAATGATCCATGTGCAGAGACCTATATGGGTAAATCCTGGATTAAATATTCTGCAATTAGATGATTAAATCTAATTTTATAAATGTTCTGAAAATTACTAAAAGCAAGGCACAATAAACAGCCTCTTATTAGACCTGGGCAGCCAAAATGATCCAAACTTAAAGTTTTTCGGTGTCTGGATGACAGACAAAGTGCAAAACATAAAGTTGCATTTCTTACAGTATGCAAAAATTTGACTCTAACCGAAGATATAGGAAAAAAATAAAGAAAAAGAATGAACATATGTGACCTTGATTTTTTTTTAAGGTCACTTGAAAGCCGAAAAAAAATTTAAATGTTAAAAAAACTGATCAACCTGGCTGCCAAGGTCTACCTCTAATCCAACCAATCAAGATTTAGAAAATTTGAATTAAACCAATAGAAAACTAAACTTTAAATCCAATATTCCTCTTACTATACTACTAAACCTTTACCTGTATTATAGGAAAATCTGCATTTTCTGAGATTGAAAACCAGAATGTGAGAGATTTTGTTTGGGAGAGAAAAGACAATATTAAATTCTTCAACACTATTCATTCATACAGCCAATATGTAAGATAAATATTATAAAGAAACTTTGAAAGAGTGGTTTTTGATAAAAAAATTGGGACATTTTTGTCTTATATAGGTTGCCCCCCCCCCTTCATGATTTCGCCCGTAGCTAAGAGTGGAGATATGGGAGTGTAATAAATGTCTCTAGTCCAACTTCTCAAGGTCTACTTTAACCCTAAACAGGCTGGGGAAACGCCCCCCCCCCCCTGTATTATTTTTGTCCTAGCGTTCTCATTTTTGACACTATCACCGTGAAATTTTGTGACTAATTAATTAATAGTAATTTAAAGGATTTTTTTAAATACTTTTTTTTAATTTAAAGGGTAGGGTACAAGGCGGAAAAAAGTCCGGTCTGTGAAAAAAAAATCTAAAATAGCCCATAACTTTTTTGTGACTAAAGCTACAGATCTAAAACTATATTTTTGAGAAGCCCTTGAAAAATGCATGTAGAAACCACCCTCCCTAGCACCCAAACTATTAAATTTATAGGTCTAATTTTTTTTTCAACCCCCCCCCTCTATTCCTCAACAAGATAGCGTTAAATAGTTCAAATATTATTGAAAATCTAAAAAAAATAAAGTATTGACTTATTTAGATTCTTCTGCCTTGGGGTTGGGGATACGAGCAACCTGATAACTATTCAGAACTAGAGATGCTCGCTTTTGAAGCAGTTGCAGAGCTTACTGCTGTTCATGGAACTAGGTTGGTCTACAATACAAGTCTAGAACTAAGCATGTCTAGTATGTTTACAATACAAGTCTAGACTTAAGCATCTCAGTGTGTTTTATTAAGAAAAGAATCAGGCATAAAACTATAATTTTTTATTGAACGTATACTTGTAAAGTGATCATGCTTATTTTGATATTCAATGTTTACTAAATCCACATTTATTGAGCTAGTAAGAAGAGGATTAAAAGTGAAAGATGGCTGACTTCCCACATGTTGGCATGGCATTTAATTAAATATATAATTTTCTGAACTAAATACTTTTAGATACACTGTTGGATGCATCCCCTGTCTCCTATATGTTGCTAGTGGTGGAAGTTTAGATTGGGCACTAGGAGAGGCTGGAATACCTTACAGTTATGGTAAGTCCTTCAAGTAAAGAGAATAACTTTTTTGGGTTCAACTGAATTTTATATCTACTGAGTATAGTTTTAAATTAATGGGTTGAACACCTAGCACTAAATATGGGAAAGTTGTCCATCATGGGTAACAATGAGAATGAGCGGAATGAAGAAATATTTAATTTTATTAAAAGACATGTAACTTGTAAGTCTTTAACTCTGATAATTTCTCCACTGCTTTTTAAAGCAAGAAATGTGTTAGTCACTTTGGCAGAGAAACCGCAACTGACAATAAACAGTACAAATGAACAAAAACATGAATATCTAATTCATACTTGATCAAACAGAGCTTTTAAAGGTACCATTGTAAATCGGGCATTTTCATCTTTGCATGTAGGGTCATCTGAAGTTATATAAAGTATATAGCCCCTTTAAAGTGTCATCCTTTGCAGGTAACCCTGTACATCCCACAAATATGAATCATTGTAAAAATTACTATTTTAAAAACATCAATTTCAGTTTAATGTTTAGGAATGGAACTGAGAGATACTGGAAACTATGGATTCCTTCTACCACCAAATCAAATTATCCCAACAGGTTCATTAAACTCATTCTATAGTTATTTGTTATCCGTTTATACTTATGCTCACAATTGTTCAAATTATTATTTATTTTTACTATTTTTCTTCACAATTGAACAAAACCCTTTACTTTAGATACAGGGTGTCCCAGAAAACATGACAGTAGCAAGACGACTTGTATGACATCTTTGATATTTGATAAAATTTGCTACATTTATTTGTCAACCTAATTTTAAAAGTAAAATTCTAGAGATAATTAGTACAAAATACCCCTAGTCCTTGCATTTTCAAAATGTGGTCTGTCTTTGTTGTGTTTTAAATATTAAACGAGATTGGAAGAATTTGGTTTAGATTTCGACAATTTTGGTTTAATTTTAGAAAAATTTAAATCTGAACGAAATTCTTAATATCTCCGGTAATATGGACACTGAATGTAACAAATCAAATCAAAGATTAAGGACGACTTTCAAGTCGTCTTACTACTGTCATGTTTTGTGGGACACCCTGTATTTGATTTTCTTTCGTATTTGTAGAATATTAGAAATCAATCAATCAATAAAACCACCCAAAATAGAAAAATGTCACTAAAATTTTAAATAATATTCAGGAGAAGAGACATGGGCCTACCATCTAACTGCTGCCAGAGCAATCCTCAGAGAATTTGGAAACAAAGTTTAAATGTTACTTTACTTAATAAACTTTAATTGAAGACATAGTTATTTATTAAGGTTTTAGAACTTTAAAGATAAATTTAGATAATGTTATGTCTTAAGAAATACTTTTTTTTTAATAAACTAGCTTTTTTGTTAGAGTATTGTCCTCCACTGGGAAGGTTTTATCCTTTTCTAACAACCCTTCAGAACTCTGATGGCAAAAGTACGAGTTACTTTTTAACCTGTTCAGAGGACGAATTTAAAGATTTTGAACATGCGACTATAAGAAGCACCAAAGGAGTTCAAATATGAGACGCGGCTCAAACATTGTTGGTTCCGCTTCAAATTGTATTCAGTGTTTTGAGATTCAAGCCAGTGCTCAATTGGAGCAGGGTTTTGGGGTTTATTTTAATGATAAGATTTTTTGTACAATTTGATAAATCTCAAAAACCTTACGGTTAACTTAGATGTTGGGAAACATTTCAAAGCTTAAAGACAAATACACAGGATGGCAGACGTACCATCCTCCCCGTCCCATCTTTATATTCCTTCTCGACTGGAAAATGAAACTCGAGCAAAATATGAAACCAAAGGGGAGTCAGGGGAGAGGGTAGTGACCTTACTCCTCTTAGAATAGGACCAAGATACAGGGTTCGGAAAAATATTACTTTCTCTTGCAATTTGGCTAGCTGCAGAGACATCCAAAAAATTCATTTATTTTTATTTTAAAAATTAGCCGAAGTATGATTGAATGATGGACAAAGAATGGATGATCAAGAAGAAATAATGAAAAACATGAATTATAGAAATCTCAAAATGTTTCCATCTGATATTTTATAGAAATTTAAAAACAATGTAAACTTAATTAAAATAAATTATTAAAGTTAAAAAAGGCATAAATTTCAGACGCCATTAAACTAAAGATATAATTCAATCTTGAGAAATAAGTTTTCCACTTTACTTTGATATTTAGAAAATTTTACAAACTTTGTGTATTTTTAAAAATTTTTTTTCATGGATGCTAAAGTAGGTTTATATGTTACTCCTTGATTTCAATTACCTGACTTAACTTAAGATCTGAGCCTGTTGGAGTAGGCATCGTTGCATATAATCATTGAATATCTATGAGAAATAGAAAAAGTACATTTTTGATAAAAATTTTTTAAATGAAATGATTATTTTCCGAAAAGTATATGCTGTCTTTTATTGAATTAAAATGTATTAACTACAAATATTAAATTTGTTTTCCAAATTCTCTGATGATAGCTCTTGCAACTGTCAAGTGAAAGGCCCAGGTTTCCTCGCCTAAATTATCAAAATTCAGAAAGTGAATGTTCTTATTGCAGATCGGTGAATTTTTTTACTTTGTTAAATATTTTTTTTCATCATTTGTTATCGACCCATCTCCTTCAGCAAAATGGTTTGTTCCGTGAATTTGTTCTTTCAGTAAAATGAGTTGTTCAGTAAAATTGTTCTTTCAGTAAAATGATTTGTTCAGTAAAATCGTTCATACAGTAAAATTGAGCGTTTTAGTTTGATTTTTTTGTTCATATTTAAAAAAAAACTTATTAAACTTAAAGAAATCTTTAAAATATTTGACATTTTTTAACAATATTTGTCAACAGCAATTGAAATGAATGCAACACATTTTCCACTACTATGTAAATTAGCAATTTGTCCAACCAAACGATAAGTTTTGTTTTAATTAAAAAAATGTAAAATATGAATTCCTAAACTTGTTTGGTTAACCTGGAAAATGTTTTGCCAAACTTGGAAAAGACTTATTTTTACAAAATGCACTGGTTAGAAGAAACTCTATTGTTGTGCTAAACCTAAAAATCTACACTTAATACAAAAATCTATGAAACATTTTAAAAGCTGTAAAGAATATGATAAGGTTTTAGGAATAGCTTAAAGATTTTTATTTAGACTGCAAAACAAACTTTATTATGAATTTTTTAATAAACTAACGAGGCCTGTTTATCCATCATTAGGAAAAAAATGCAACAAAGAGACCGCATTGATGAGCGTTTTCGAAGTGTGTTTTATTTGTTGGAATAATCTGGTCAGGTGGGAGAACAAAATCATATTTACCTGATGGAATAATCTGGTCAGGTGGTAGAACAAAATCATATTTATCTGTTGGAATAATCTGGTCAGGTGGTAGAACAAAACCATATTTATCTGTTGGAATAATCTGGTCAGGTGGTAGAACAAAATCATATTTATCTGTTGGAATAATCTGGTCAGGTGGTAGAACAAAATCATATTTACCTGTTGGAATAATCTGGTCAGGTGGGAGAACAAAACCATATTTACCTGTTGGAATAATCTGGTCAGGTGGAAGAACAAAACCATATTTACCTGTTGGAATAATCTGGTCAGGTGGTAGAACAAATTATATTTACCTGTTGGAATAATCTGGTCAGGTGGTAGAACAAAATCATATTTACCTGTTGGAATAATCTGGTCAGGTGGTAGAACAAAATCATATTTACCTGTTGGAATAATCTGGTCAGGTGAGAGAACAAAACCATATTTACCTGTTGGAATAATCTGGTCAGGTGGGAGAACAAATCATATTTACCTGTTGGAATAATCTGGTCAGGTGGTAGAACAAAACCATACTTTCCTTTGTCTCTTAACTCCATAGCTTTAAAAACAAAAATATTTTAAATATAAGAAAAACTTTAAGGTTATAATAAAAATTTCTATAAATCTTTGTTAGGTACGCAAATTTTATGCAACTGTAGATTTAAAAAACAACAATTGTGTCACCCTTGGATGACTTTAAATCAAGCAATTCCAAAAATCAAATTCAAAATTATCAAAATGATTGAATTTTCGTGCAATTGTACTGCAAAAATTGTAAAAACAGCCAAACAAAATTTTTGCAGAATTTGGCGTAAATAACTATTAAGCATTTAGCTTGAGAAGTTGAGAACATAGAGTTGCTCAGGGTGTTTATAAAATAATATATAATTAATACATATTAATATTTATAAATGATATATGATGAAAAATTTCAAAAATGTTTGTACTTCTGAGCATCCATAAACCTTCCCTGGGTTCAAATTTGGGCCCAATGGGTTCAGCTGTTTTGTACAAAAATCCTTGATTAAAATATTACCAAAGCTGTAAGGAATTCCTGCCTCTCCTAGCGCCCAATCTAAACTTCCTCCACTAGCAATATACAAGAGACTAGGAATGCTTCCAACCTCATATCTGAAAGAATAAATATGACAATGAGAACCAGTATACAGTTGAATTCTTTTTTATTTTAGTTTTGCAATTTCGTTCTAGATATTTCATCAATATTTTAAAGCAATTTCAATGATATTTCTTATGGAAAAGAAAGTACAAAGACAACATTCATTTTGCAGTTTCTGGTTGTCATTGTATCAAAAGAGCTTTATTTATATTGTAATAATTAATGGGTTCAATCAATTAGAATGCAAGATGTAAATCTTAGGGATTTTGAGATCAATCACTTGCTCCCATGGTTGGGGTATGCACAAATGTTTCACTCTATGTTCCGTATTCTAATTCTTGTAAATCCCTTTAATTTTTTCTCTCTAGATATCTCTCAAAATATGAATGAATGGGATTTATCAGCTTCATAGTTTATTTGTTAAGTACATCTGTATAAGGCTATTCTTGTTAAATCAGTTCCTTTAGATATTCTAAAAGACCATAGTTCAGCTACTTTCAATGTCTCATTCAGCTCAAATGTCTCGTTCAGCCGCTCTAATTCAACATCTATCTGAGCAGCTTCCTCAACTCAATATATCGTTCATCTGCTCTGATTCATGAGATGCTTCTACGGTAACCCTAGCTGCTATTGTAGTTGTTCCAGCCAGAGTCTTCACTAATTTAGCTGCTTACTTTGCTGGACTGGAAACAAGTCTGTGAAGAGCTATCTACAAGGACTAGGGTCTACTGCATCATGATCTCTTGGTACTCAACTGCTTCTACAATAGATCTGTCAAGAGCAGCATCTCCTGTCTCAGGATCCTCTGGTTCTGCTGCTGATTCCACAACAGGTCTGTGAAGAGTTGCTCTACAAAGAGCGGTGTCCCTGTACTCAGGATCCTCTGAAGAGTTTAAAGCAGCCTCTAATACTGGCTGGGTAATCTAGTTTTCCTCTGTATGAACACTCTATAGCTGCTCCAAGTCTCCAGTAGCTCTGTTCATAGAACCAAATGGAGAATATATCTTGGTCTGTAATTGGAATGGAAATCTATAGTTCTTCTGTGTGTCATGGAAGTCCTAGTTCTCCTGTGTGCCATGGAAGTCCTAGTTCTCATATGTCTCCAGGTTCTCTACTCCATTCAGATTCAGAGGAAGGGGTGAGGGGTTTTAGTATCTGATCATACTCTAAATATTACACCATACTACAATATTACAATATTTGATGATTGTATAAATCCAGGGGCATATACAGGAGGAGGAGGGGGAATAATGGGGTTAAGCCATGATTTCCAGGAGAGATGCTGCCCCCCAGCCCCCCCTTTTTTGGAAATTATTAAATGTAAGGACAAATTCCTGTATGCACCCCTGTGTATAACGTACTCAGTTCCATGAACAATAAGTAGCTCTAGAACAGCTTCAAAAGCCAGCAACTGCATTTCTAGATAGTTATCTGGATGATCAAAGCTCCAACCCCATGGTAAAAGAATCTAGAAATATAAAAAATTTAATCTTTTGTTAATTTTGTTTCAGAAATTCTATTATCAACTATTGGAAATATTTTGGAATCTCTCTTGATTAAAAGTCCGTGAATATGTGGTTAAAAAAACCAACCTTAGAGGGAGTGTTTGCGAAAAATGAAAGGGGGTATAGGCTTGCGCCGAAAATAATCGCTTTTGATCACTTCCAAACTTCTATCTGTTGCTTCTATAAGGATAAAATTGTTAAAAACAACTCATACTGATGAACGTAGCGTTCATACAAATTCAGAAAGTTGCAATATAGTACTCAAATTATAAAATAATAAATTTAATTTAAAACAAATCATTCAGATATTACAACCTAAAGTATTATGAAATATTTACCATATACAAATGCGTCGAAAAATAATCGATGACTATAGGTTGTAATATCTGATTGATTTGTTTAAAAATAAAATTGATTATTTTACAATCAGAGTCGGATATTGCAACTTTCTGAATTTTTATGGACGCTACGTTCTTCAGTATATAAGTCATGTATAACAATTTTCTCCTTATAGACGCAACAGATAGAAGTAAGATTAGTAGCGATTAAAAGCAATTATTTTTTTGTCGTAAGCCTATACCCCATTTCATTTTTGCAAAAACTCTCTTTAAAATACAATTCCTTCTAAATGAATACATGCTTAAAACCAGTATAAAGACAACAAACTTGTGATAAGATATTTTTTAAGTTGCTGATATCGTTAATATCGACATCAATTTCTAAGAAAAACGTTTAAATTGCAAAAATTATCATAGAGAGTAGAAATCGTTTAAAAGCTTAATAGAAATAAAAATTCAGCTTCATAGTATTGTATCAAAACACCCTATTTTGTTCAGGATATAAACATTTCTTACAATCTAACTTACATATTGGCTGTAAGAGTGAAGAGTATTGAAGAATTTGATCTGGCCTTTCCGTTCTAGTATAAAGTCTCTGACATTTCTGTTTTCTACCTCAGAAAATGCTTCTTTACCTTAAAAAGGGTGGTTTCAATTGACTGTCCATTTATGTTGTGGCATTTCCAATTCACAATGTTACCCTTGAGCAAGTATGAAGAAAATTTTATTTTTTTTATCATAAAAAGTGTTGAATTCTGGCAATTTCCTGCCCACTCTTCATTGGAAAGGTTAAACATAACGTTAAAATTTCTTTTAACGGTATTCATTGATATTTCATTTTTAAAAATAATTATCAATATTATCATTATTGTTATTGTATCTATTATTACCCATGTAAGCTTCATCGCAAGGATCATTTGATGATCCTCCTTCATTCCAATGGAATCCCCAATTTCTGAAAGAAAAAAATATGAATTCATAATTGAGGTTTTCTTTACGTAGTAAATATTTTAAGATAATTTTATTCTTATGAAGAATTTGATGTTTTATTGGACTTTTATTGATTATGGACTGTTTTCTTAGGTTTTTATTTCAAAGATTTGTACAGATTAAAAAAAGCCATTCAGGCAGTATGCCTGAGGACTTGCAGTAAGTATAATAGCCCCGCTTTGAGCTTAAAGTGAGGGGCATGTTTTAGTTAGAAAAGTTAAAAAAAAACTGAACAGCCTCAGACCAATACTTTTTGAGTTATCTCCAAAAAAGATCAGGCGGAATAGGGTTAAGCTATTTTTACTAACTAATAATAAAACTGTTTGAAAAAAGTCTGTACGTTCCCAGCAATATGCCTATCCTTATATATTTATATTTATCCAGTTACCTGAAAAGGATAAGATTCAAAAGACGAGCAAAAATTCTTAAATATAACGATCTTAATGTTAGATTTGGTTGTTGCCTTCAATCTTTCCTGGTAATGGTTTACTAAATTGTTTGGTATCAAAAGAAGCTTGTGTTCAAATGCAGAGATGCATGAATGTAAGAAAAAAACCTCAATAAATTCCATACAGTTGTCTCTGAAATCTCATCCTTTGAGAGTAATCCTGTACCTGTTTGCATCAGTTCCAAAACATCCATTGTCATTTGGGGAACGAGTTTTTCTCCACAGCCTTAATTGAGTGTTCACAAAAATTAAGAACTACATTATATGTAGCAAATATAACATTAACTACAGTTGGACCCAGAACTTTGGAGACATCGAAAGAATTTATAAAATTTTATCTTGACAATTTTTCAATGAGTTTTACACTATTTTACCTATGTTTCAGTAAGTGTAAAATAAAGAAATATTCATAAAATCTGCATGAAATATGCGGGAAGCGTTTTAGAGAGTTCCATATAATAATTCAATTGAAAAAATAATCATCTGCAGCAGTGCTCCATTATCAGTAGGTTTAGAAGATGACATTTTGTAAATTCTTTCGATGTCTCCGATTAGAAGATAGGAATATTCAGTTTATGCCAATATTCATAATATGTATAATTTAAAATGGATTATCCCAACCCTCTTTTCATGTTTTGAGAACACTCCATTAAGTAAATTTAGCAAAATTCATCATTTATTCATTTTGAAATCAAATGTTTGTTGATATTTTATTATGTTTGATGCTCACCTGTCAGTGTATGAGTAATTATATCCATCTGGGTTGATATTTGGAATTATATACCAGTCCAATTCCTGTTTAAAGAGTCTGTAAACGTAATTTTAAATGACCCTTCCATTTATAAAGTGATATGAACGATTCACAACAGAACCATTAAAGGTTTTGTCTGAACAAGTATGAAATAGATATCCATGTTTTTTTTTTAATTTTAACATTTTGAATTTGAATTTTAAAAACTGATTATTTTCAAATGTAGTTTCTCTAAAAATCGATCACTTATGCAATTTTCTCCTGCAGAAAAAAATAAAAGAATTATCAGAATTAAAGACTTTTCAAGCTGAATTTATAATGACGTTATATTTTACATCTTTGATCAGATAAAAGTTTCAAGTGTACTGTTGTGAATTGATCATTTTCTATTAGTCGAGGTTCACTTAAAAATGTTGCTTACAGCCCCTTTTTTCAAAGTTTTATCTTTATCGGTTTGAATTAATAACAAGAAGTATACTTGAACTTGGTTCGAATTCTATAGTAAACTTTTTAATGGATAGAAAATTTAAAGTCATTTAAAGTCATTTAAAGTCGTTTTTAGAGAGAAAACTTAGTCTAGAGAGTGTGTCTGTCTAGACATCGTAGTTTAGCTGAGAGTGTAGCATTGTAGAGAATTTTAATAATCTTTTGAGACCTATAAGAGGTTTGTACAGTGTAAGACCACATAATCGAGATCTTTAAAATCCTCCTGGTGCTTGCACCCAGACAGGTTGTGACATGGCACACCTGCCCAACTACGCTTGGCACGTTCCACCTTTTTTTAAATCGTTCCGTTTCATTCTAGAACGAGAGCCTTTTGCTAGATTGTTTGTTCCTCTTTCATTCTTGTTTCAATCCTTCCAATCACATTCCATTCCGTTCCGTTCTTGGTGTTCTTAGACGAAAACGGTTTTTTCCGATTCTGTTCTATTCTTTGTGTTCTTTGTTGAGAACAGTTCCATCCCCGTTCCGTTCCCTTCTTTGTCAAGAATGGTTCCATCCTCATTCCGTTCTTTGTCCATATGAAATATGAGTTTGATGTCACATCTGTGGGTCAAGAGTGGTTGCACTGGTTCGCCTGTGCAAGTAGCCTGAATCTAGCCTGCTTGGGGCACAACTAAGCCCGCTGGTAGCTATTCTTTTGGAATGACAGTACATAGCCAGGACCGGGTCAACACAGTTTCCTGAGCTTGTCTGTGCAATGATCTAATTCAGAGATCGCTAGGCTAAAAGTTGGTCTGGGCCCTCAACCTGCTATTAGATAATAAAATGCGGACTGGGAGAACTATTGTTTAAATGGTGAGGACAGATTATTAGAATGGGGAACAGGTTGCATTAGGGAAGGGGGAGGGGAGTTTTATTATTTCTAAATGATTTAAACATTTTTCTGATTTAAAATGCGTTTCCGACTTAGAATGCATTCCTGATGATAAAAATGCCTTCCAGATTTTAAAGTTCTTTTCAAGCAATTTCCGTTCTAATGCATTCTGTGTGTTCCTTCTTTTTTTCAGAACGTTGGTATTGTTCTTGATAATTCCGTTTGTTCTCATGAAAGAACAATCGTTCCCCAGGAACAACGCCCAACCCTATACATATATATATGCAGGTTGCGGCGCAGTTTATCTTTCGTAAATTTGATGAGTTATCTATGTTCTAAGATTTGAATATTTTAAGATTTTCATGTTCAGAATGGTCCTTACCTCTGTCAAGTCAGGATGATCACTATTATTCTCCAATAGTTCATTTATCATATAGGTTACAGTGGCAGGAGACACCCATTCTCTAAATATGATCATATATGATACAGTGGCAGAAGACTAAAAGGTCGGCCTGGGTTTTCAGTAAGGATTTTTTTTCTTCAGAATTTAACACAGCACACTTAGTTCCTCCGTAGCATTTAGAAGGTAGATTTAATCTTTAATCAGCTAAGAAATTTTCAGCTGTTAATTTCCAAAAGGTTAACATTCTCAATAGCTTCAGAAAAGGTTCCATCAGAAACCAAATTGATTCTGGAAAGAATGGAAACTCTAAAGTTCACATTATTCTAACCTTGCATGAATCCCGCCATCTATCCAAATAGCTGGCTTATTTCCACATCCTCCCTTACATACACTCAATACCTGCAATTTGATGTTAAAAACTATTCTAGTGGCATTTTTCCGTTATTGGCAATTTCCTAAATGGCATTTTGCCTTTTTAAAAATTGTTCATTTGGGAAAAAGTTGTTGGAAAAATGTCCAACTCCAATATATTAATTCCTCAATTTAATTTTATAACAATGCAGATATATGCTCTTGGAAAAATATCTAAAACAAGCATTGTAAATTTTTATGAAAATGATGTCAACATAATTGAACAATTTTAACAGTTTTATCATCAACCATACAAAAACTTTGAAATTAATAAAAAATAAAGGTTATTATTATTTGTCATACCCTCATGTCATTTCCCTCATATGATTGTCCAATTGAAGACACTGATACATAATCATAGGTAGAAACCAGAAAGTCCATAAAATCCTGGAAAATGTCCTTTTTAACAATTTCAGCTTTGAACTCTGAAAGGCACCATTTTAAGTCATTCTCAAATTTTCGTGGATTTCTCAGCTTGAATTGATGCATTTTAAAATTTCAACCAACCATATAAACCTTCCTGAAGCCTTGGGCTGGGCCATGTTTCGTAAACAAAACGGAGGTTTTAGAAAATTAATTGAAGAGTCTATTAATGAATTACAAAAACCTTTAATTTTTAAATCCTTAACAAAACAGATTAGTCGTTATGGAAAAAAAATTAACGGTGAGAACATAAACGAAACAGAATTTTTTAAAAGGTGGATTTCTTTTTTTGCTGTAAATTGTATGAAACTTGTAAAAAAAATGTTTCTTTATGTGTTTTGACTTTTTTAAATGTCGTCTTTTGTGTTCACAACCATTAAAAATTTCAGAAACAGTTAACTAAAATTTGTTTAATGCTTTGAACCATTTGGCTAAGCTGTTTACAATTTCATTAACCGTTAATGAATTAATTCTGTAATAACATACCATCAATAGACGGAGCTGTTAAGGGTTGTCTATGCCGTTAATAAAATTGAGATCATTAACTAACAGTAACTTTAAAAAAACGGAAAATACCGTTAACAAAACAAAGTTTCATTCTTACCCTCTAAAACTATCAGCTATCTGAGAGTTTATTTAAAAACGGTTGGAGCAAAAAGTTTTAACATGCCCACTGCCCAGCCCTACCTGGGCCCCAACAACATAAGTAACATTTAATTATAATTTTAAATATTTCTTTTATATTTAAAATAAAGTTTTATAATTACTTACAAATTAATTATTAATATTGAATTTTCATAATCAGCGGCTGCGGATATGATATGAATGACAACCTTCAGTATGAAATTGAGCGCCAAAATTGCAATCTGATTTTGTTAATTATAATCTATTAAAAATTATTTTGTTGTTTATTTTGTGTTTTTTTTTAATGGTGCCCTGGTAGGATCTTCACAAGCCTGTTTTAGATCACAGGCATTCACAGGGTTACCCCCCTCCCCTCCACCCTAAAAAAACCATCTATACGCCATGATTAAGATATATTCCATTCACAGGATTTTCTTTAAGGGGAGAGGGCAATAACTCTGTGTACACCCTTTTGATCTGAAATGTACTTGTTAAGACCCTATACCAAGGCCCCATCTTCGCATTGTGATCAAGGCGCCATCAAAGTGCTGTGATCAAGACACCTGTATGGCAACATATCTGGCTGCTTTAAGTCCCAGGCATGGTCCCAGGGGGTAAGGGGTGGCGTGGACAGCTGGGAAAAAGCATCAGACAGACACACACTTAGCGAACAAAATAACCTATTGATGTATTGCCTCCCGGACAGAAGGTTCACTTGTTTAACGTTATTAAGGACGCCTTCAGAAAAGTCTTAATGGTCTAATTCAAGCTTGAACTCTCCTGAAACATTAGGTCTTTATTGCGCCATATGACAGGGACTTAAAACTCAATTCAGGCTTTCAGGCCAAGCCTTGAGGACAGATACTTTTACTCTTAGGCTATTCCAGTTCTACTCTAGCTTTCCTCAAAGCAGAACCTAGGTCTTTGCAGAGGCGCTTCTAACAGTTACTAGGAGTACAGGGAGACAGAGAAAATTGGCAAATCTAGTTAAACGTACACACATAAGAAACTGAAGGTATGAAGGAAAATCTACATTAAAAAACACAAGATAATCAACAATGGATGTCTGCATTCATCTGTCAATGCTGTATTACCCTGGAAAACAGAGGGGTTGTTTACCTCTCCATAGGTCTACGATTGCTCTAGAAAAGCTAAACTTGCACTCCTGAAAACCAGATCTCTTGAGCCAGTTTCTAAGTAAAACCTACAATCCATGTGGAGATTCTGACATTGGGTCCTACAAATTTTCAAAATTCCATGTTTGTTGCAGTGTTTCTTTTTTCCACACCCTGTAAAAGAGCTAGGAAAATTACACATTAATTGTGTATAGATCTATATTTAGTATAGTCATCATGCAACAATCTACAAACCTGAAGAGATAGCAAATATCAATTCTAGAAAATTTCATTATTCTTTGTGAGTTCAGAGTCAGCAGCTGAGATATTGAATTTAGAAACATATGATGAGCTAAACTTCCTTGCAACAAACCAGAAATATCGGACAGAATTAAAAAAGAAACAGAGATTAGCAGAATTCTGAACCAATGAATAGATAAGAAGAATGTGCAAACTATTTCAAATACAAATTATTTTGAAAATATCAAAAACAAATATTGGGGTGCTGTATCCCACATGGAGTTTTTGAGGTCCTGGGATCCCCCTCCCCCCCCAGGGACCCAGGGGGGAGGGTCCCAAGGATCCCAAAGTGGGAAAATTGTAGTACTGTAATACTATTAGAACAATTTTGTACAATTTTTTAATTTAATGCTTAAAAAATTTTTTTTTAATAATTTGCTAAATATAACTCTTAGGCCATTTTCCCCAGTCCCCTATACATAATTCAGACCCCCCCCCCCCCCAGCCTTTACATGGTTAAATATTTACATGCATATCCTCGACAGGATGATAAGAGGTCCAGTCCATAGCATGCTTTGATCCAACCCTACAATTCAGAACAAATCATTTTAAAGAAACTTTTAGTCATAAAACAAGTATTGATTTTTAAGGACATTAAAAACGCTTTAAGACAATATTTAAAAAAATAACAATCATGAAAAAAAGAAAAAAAATATGCTTTTGTCACAAGTTTCCTTTTGTTGTTAAAACGTAACTATGGTTGCTGAATTTTTTGTTATGGATAGCGCTCAGCATAATATTTAAATTGAATAATTTAAATTAAATTCCGGGATATAAAAGAAATCCATGTATACATACATACAAATACAATTTAAATGAGCTTGTTAGAACCGGATTTAAAATATAAAAGTTTTAACCTCAAGCCTAATAATTACCTGGATTTGTCTCCTTTTTTAAACCAGGTCTTACTTTCCTTTATAAGTCCAGCCAAATCCTAAATACGGATCATATCGAGGTGTCCCCCAATAAATCCCTTTTTCTCTATCTTTTATTATTAACACTATCACCTTTGTAATTTTTTTGTTATAACTTTAAAACGGCTTACAATTAAACACTCAAACTTTTCCCTTTTTTAACTTTATGCTTGTGAACAAATTTAGCAAAATACTGGGTTTTTTATGCATGATCAAACGGCTGGTCGGTGTATCAAAAAATCAAGAATAATCTATAACTATAAAGATCTATTTTTAACAATTTTCTGGCTAACGTCTGGAACTTTCCAAAGCCTCCCCCCCCCCCATAAGACAAAGTTACAAAAAATGAAAAAATTTTACCTCAATCATTACAGAAAAATTAATACCAAGGTTTTGAAATTCTTTTTCCCACACAGTTTTATCTAAAATTAAAAAATTTAATTTGAACTGTTAAAATTTTAGATGACTGGCTCACCTTTTAATTCCACTCTGACATCTACATTACCCAAACGAACCTAAAAAATCTTATTGGCTGAAGTATTATCTTTTTTTCAATAGCCCTTGATAATAACATTTTTTGGAATCATCAAGCAAATATACTAAAGTCGAAAAGAGAAAAATTAGGAAAGATGGGTTAGAAGTTTAAAGTTAAATTAATACCTCAGTCCAGAAATCAGCTCCATTATTCTGTAGGTTCTGCAGATATTCAATCTGATTGGGAGTCTGGACTTCAAGTCTGTACACTTGGTCTCCATTGTACTCTCTACACTGTACACCTAGTATAAAGTTGATTATTTACACTGCACACTGTACACCTAGTTTCAAGTTGTTTATGCACTGTACAGTGTATACTGTAAACACTGTATACACTTTGTTAAAAGATGTTTATGTACACTGTAGTACACTGTACACCTAGTGTAAAGTTGGTTATGTGCCCTCTTTTCTTTACACCTAGTGTAAAGTTGGTTATATACACTGTATACTGTAAACGTTGTTTGTACACTGTACAGTGTATACTGTACACCCATTGTGAAGTTGGTTATGTACACTGTACACTGTACACTATACACCTAGTGTAAGGTTGGTTATGTACACTGTACAATGTACACTGTACACCTTTTGTAAAGTTGGATATATACACTGTACAATGTACACCTTGTATGTATCACTGAACACCTTTTGTAAAGTTGGTTATACACTGTATACGTAGTGTAAAGTTAGTTATGTGCACTGTATACCTAGTGTAAAGTTAGTTATGTGCACTGTATACGTAGTGTAAAGTTAGTTATGTGCACTGTATACCTCGTGTAAAGTTAGTTATGTGCACTGTATACGTAGTGTAAAGTTAGTTATGTGCACTGTATACCTAGTGTAAAGTTAGTTATGTGCACTGTATACGTAGTGTAAAGTTAGTTATGTGCACTGTATACGTAGTGTAAAGTTAGTTATGTGCACTGTATACGTAGTGTAAAGTTAGTTATGTGCACTGTATATGTAGTGTAAAGTTAGTTATGTGCACTGTATACGTAGTGTAAAGTTAGTTATGTGCACTGTATACGTAGTGTAAAGTTAGTTATGTGCACTGTATACGTAGTGTAAAGTTAGTTATGTGCACTGCACTGTATACCTAGTGTAAAGTTAGTTATGTGCACTGTATACCTAGTGTAAAGTTAGTTATGTACACTGTACATTGTACACTTTACATCTATTGTAAAGTTGGATAAACACTTTACACTGTACATCTAATGTAAAATTGTATTGTACACTGTACACCTAGTGTAAAATTGTTTGTGTTCATAGTACACTATACACTTATTGTAAAGCTGGTTATACACACTGTACAGTGTATAATGTACAAGTGTTGTAAAGTTTCTTTATGTACACTGCACACTAAACACCTAGTTAAGTTGGTGATATACACTGTACACTGTACACGTAGTGTAATGTTAGTTATGTACACCTAGTGTACTCGGAAAAGAAAAGAAAGAAAAAGATTGCAATGAAACTAAAAAACCTACCAGCCAAGACCCCAAATATAGCAATTAATGCTAACATATTTCCTACCAAACTAAACACATTTTAGTAATATTGTTATCTTGACATATTCCTTATTTACTTATAGCTTTGTCCATGTTCAATGTTCATATCTTTAAGAAAACAAAACTTTAAAAACTAAATTTAAGAAGGAATACAGATTTCTTGAGTTTTGAACGCAAGTTACATATTTTTCAGTATCTCTGATAAACATAAAATATGCAATAAGAGGGATACGTATTAAAAATAACCCCCCCCCCCTCTAAAAAAAACTTTGCTGATGGGGTATTTTTTTACTGTGGAAACAACGTAAGTTTAATTTTTACAGTTAATTTGTCATCGGAAAGCTCTATATTTTAGTTATTTTAGGGTATATTTTGTAAAGAAGTCGTTTTTGTTACACTTAAAACTACTTTTTGAGTATAGGTCGAAAATCAAAACATTTTAAAACTTTTTACTGAGATAGATGAGATCAAATACTTTTGATGAAAAAGTGAGCTAATATACTGATTGATACTAAAAAAAATTTATGAGATTTAATTTGATTATTTCGACAATAATTGCTAGAAGTTTTTAGATGCTTTACATCTAAAAACTTTTAGCAAATATTGTCATTGTATATAACAGTATCGAAAACAATTTACAGTTTTCAGCTTATTAGGTAATAGGTTATACGAATTTACGAAATGGGACTTAAATGACATGTCATATACAGTCGATTAAATTTAGAGTTTAGACGTCAGACAAAGGTCAATTTTGGAATTTACACTTTAGCATGAGCAACCTGGAGTTAGAAAATTAAAACTGTTTTTTTCTAACAATCTTTTCTAGCAGAGGAGATATGATTGAAAATTTTAAAAACATATTTTTAGCGGGAGTTGTTTCTAAATTCGCGTTCTTTAAGTATACCCTGTACGTAAATTTTATCTTTATCTTTTGTGGTTGAAAATAGATTTGTTCTTTCATATTTACAAAATGTCAGCAGAAGCAAGAATAACATTTTTAAAACTAAATAAAACATACAGGGTGATTTTAGAGAATAATCTTTAAGGATGTTCGGGTGAATAAAACTTGTAGGCGGGTTCTAAAGAATAAAATTACTAGGAGATTTTTAAACATTATAGGGTGATTTATAGGGATAACCAAAAAACCTATGGAATAATTTTGGTCTTTGTTTTTTCTTTCTTTTAATCATGAATAAAGAGATTTAATTATCCATACTAAGTTTTAAAAATAAGTTAGTTTCAACATTCCAAATTTTAGGGAAAACAGATCTACAGCTGTCTGGTTATCACTGTTATAGACCATTTTGAATAAACAAAATTTTTAGTGGAAACCGACTTGAACTGACAAATAGAAAATGGTCCTATTTTCTTCAAATTTGACCGAAGATAAGACACAAATTTACAGTTGGAAGATTTATTTTTATTATATCTGTTATACTCTAATCTATAAGATAGGTGATATAGTGGAAGGAAGTGTTGTGGTAAAGACAGCTTCACTTCTTAAGGTAATTAAATTTGACTTTATGACTATGCAGAGGCAAAGCAACATTTTTTTATTTTTCGGTATTTTTTGGGAAAGTCATAAAATTAATGTTTTAACGTAATTTTTCTATTCGTCCAAACTATTAATCTTTCCAAAACAACAATAAAGACCTTAGAATCAAAATTAAAAATTTTAGCACAAAAAATACTGCCTACTTTAAAAATACAAAAATTTACGTTGACTATTGTTGTCTTTTAGCATGATGGAATACAACTTTTCCTGGAGGGATTTGTTCTCATTCAAAAATCTACTGCTTTACTTGAGGAAAAAGGTAAGTAACAAAATATCAACATTTTTAATTTAACAATATTAATTTATTACTTTTTGGAAGATTGAGATAAGAATCCAATGTTATCTAGAAAAAGTAAAGTTATCTCTGCTGGGTTAGCCATTTTGTTTGTTTGTCGTTCCGATCATAACTCATGAACCCCTGGACCGAATTTTGATTGGGGAACTCGTTGAAGCCGCGTGAATGTTCTTAGCTTTGTTTGAAAAAAACAGAAAATATCTGGGTTGACTTTTTGTTGAGAAAGATAAAATTTCCTGGCAAACTGGGTTCCCAAACTGGGTTCCCAAGTTGGTACAAAGAACCACCAAAAGTATTTATGACAGTCAATGTTGGAAATGTTCCAACGACAGCAATAACTATCATTGTTAAAAATCTCAAATTTATCACGATTATTTATTCTTTTCGATCTTTCTTGAAAGTAAATTGAATATTCTGAAATTCAAAAATTCTTCTGAGAGAACTAAAAATGTTGCATATAATACATATTTAATTTTGGTTCAACAATAATTTTTTGAAAAAAGTCTCTTTAAGTTCCTGAACTTGGGAAACAAACTGAACTAATATCGAAGAGTGTCACTTTAAGCAAGGTAATAAAAAAATCTTTAAACATTTTTAAGAAATGTGATATGGTGTTGTTAAAACCGGGAATTCCATTGTTGACTTTATAACTTCATTACGGGAACACCAATATTGGACATTTATAGCACCTTTTAAGGGAAAAAATAAAAATTGTCATTCATATTTGTTTAGTTTATGTGATTTGCAAGAAAAAAAATTTGTTCTTTGGTTATTTTTGTGAGGTTTTCAAAATTTGTCTTACTTTTTATTGGAAATCTTTAGGCTTTCTGGGGTGAAGCCAATAATGGACTATAGCGCCGTGCGAAAGAGTTTTAATAATAAATGATAAGGCTTTGTAAAGGGAGGAAAACTGATTGCTGGGACCTACGAGTTTGATTTTAAAGCTAAGCTAGGTGATTTAAATTATAACTTTAAAAATACAGTGAGACCCATAAAACTATGCAAAAAGAAGACGACTGTTAAATTCTAATATGTTTAACTAATGCACATGTAATAAAACACTACGCAGACCCATATCATTTAATAAAGGATTATTTGAGCTACCGATAAAACTATTTGCTTTATAACATCAAATACACATTATATTGCTTACATGTGTTCTTCCTGTATAGCCACTGTTTATAATTAATTCTGTATGTAAACAACAGTTTTGAATAAAATCAAAATTTGTATTACCGTTTATGACAAACATCAAGATTAATTGATTTTTTCAAACGAAAATTTGAAAAATCTAAAATTAAGTTATTGATCAAAAGAAACTTCACTAAGCAAGTGATTTGCAAATCAATTATTCTTTACGTAATAAATTATTCGTTGATCAATGATTATTTGATTACTCAATATTTTTTCTATTAGTCAACACATTATTGTTTAATAATCAATAATTTGAATTAATCAACAATTAATGGACAGATTTATCAATAATAATATTTGTTATCAGTTAATAATCAATTAAATGATTAATCATTGATTAATTAATTGATTAATTAATATTTAACTAACTGATTAATTAGTAATTAATTAATTAATTAATATTCAATTGATCAGTTAACTAATCAATTGATCAATTGATTATTCTATTAATAATTGTCCCAAAATACTAGAACGAGGCGAGGTACCTCTGCAAGAAACTAACCATGGCGCCTGTATCTCTATTCAGTATTTTGTCAGGTTATTCATTCATTACGTAAAACTAACTACAAGTAGGGTTGTTAATCGTTTTTAAAAACGATAGTTTAATGGTCTTTTTTTGTTTTGTTTTTTAATGGTTTTCAAAAACTATCGTTTTAATAAAACTTTTTGCAACCGTCTTTTATACAATTGTTTTTTTAAACGATCGCTTTTTAAAAAAAACTGTATTGACAATTATGTTAATGAGCGTTAACGAAGGGTCGTCGTTAAAAATCGTTAACTAAGTGTTGTCGTTAACGATCGCTAAAGAAACGACGAACTTTTTTGTAAAATCTATCGTTTTTGAAGAAAAAAATTAAATGCAACTTTATTGAATGTCGTCTTACATGAATTTATAATTGTGGGGAAGCTAAAACTTTTTGATATTTTCTTAAAAACTACTCCATGATAAGTACAGAGGTCTTTCAGGTCGGTTTTCTCTCTTCGTTAACGATACGACGAGTTTTAAAACGATAGTTTTTAAAACAATCGTTTTAAAAACGACCATTTTTTTAAAAAAAGAACTTTTTTAATAAAAACTAACCAGAACCTTTTTAAAAACGATCGTTTTTAAAAACGTTCGTTTCGTTTTCGATTTTTCGTCGTCGCTTTCATAACGAAACTATCGTTTTTAAAAAAAGATGAAATCTTTAATATCCCTAACTACAAGGAACAACATCCTGTCTGTATCGGTATTATTTCAGTCACATGTTTACCTGCATTCAAAATCCGTCAAACATTGCGTTAGAGACCATATACCTAAGTTTAAAATTGCATGATCTGTATCGGATACAACACGTGTTCTGTCATGTTAGAGACCATACACCCAAGTTTAAAATTGCATGATCTGTATCGGATACAACACGTGTATTGTCATGTTAGAGACCTTACACCCAAGTTTAAAATTGCATGATCTGTGTCGGATACAACACGTGTACTGTCATGTTAGAGACCTTACACCCAAGTTTAAAATTGCATGATCTGTATCGGATACAACACGTGTATTGTCATGTTAGAGACCTTACACCCAAGTTTAAAATTGCATGATCTGTGTCGGATACAACACGTGTACTGTCATGTTAGAGACCTTACACCCAAGTTTAAAATTGTATGATCTGTATCGGATACAACACGTGCATTGTCATGTTAGAGACCTTACACCCAAGTTTAAAATTGCATGATCTGTGTCGGATACAACACGTGTACTGTCATGATGTTAGAGACCTTACACCCAAGTTTAAAATTGCATCATATGTGTCGGATACAACACGTGTACTGTCAGGTTACCCAGTGTAGAGTAGACCCAGATTTTGCTTTGCAATAAATGTAGCCGGGCAAGTGCTTATTTACTTAACAATTTCGAAGATGAAAAAATATTTTTTTTCTGAATGCTGCACTGTTGGAATACCTTTCTGCTCTTCAATACCACAGTCAACCAATATGTGCACACTATAGTGCAATAACTGTTCAGAATTTCGTCAATTACTTATTTTAAACTGAAGTTAAAAACAAGTGTGTCGTAGTTCTTTCAAATGTTTATGTCAGTACTTAGTAAGGTAAGAAATACCAAGGTGTTGTGACACTCTTAAATGTATATTGCAGTACTTAGTAAGGTAAAAATACCAAGGTGTTGTGACACTCTCAAATGTATATTGCAGTACTTAGTATAAGGTAAAAATACCAAGGTGTTGTGACACTCTTAAATGTATATTGCAGTACTTAGTAAGGTAAAAAATACCAAGGTGTTGTGACACTCTTAAATGTATATTGCAGTACTTAGTAAGGTAAAAAACCAAAGCGTTGTGACTTGTGATACTCTTACATGGCAAATTCTCTATAAATCATGAACAATTTTCATCATGCCTGGATCTCTGTGCCTGAAGTTTAAAAGAAAACATTTATTCAATTTGCATTTTAGAGTTGAAATTCGTAGAAGTCTTTTACACCAGAATATTGAAACTATAGAAGAGGTAAGCAGCGGCAACTCTGTACTCAGTATGTTACAACTATTTTTAAAGAGACTGTGAACGTAATTTCAAGTAACCCTCCATTTACAGAGTGGCATATCCGATCAACAATGATACCCATACTTTTACTTTTTAATTGAGGTTTTTATTGAAGAGGCTTGGAGCAAAAATGAAGAAATTGTCAAAGTTAAAAATGTTTTTCTAGAAAAGCGACAATTTTTTCCTCAATTTTGATCAGAGAAAGATTTTAAGTGTACAGTTTTGGATCAGGCATATGACTCTGTTTTATGGAGGATCAGTTGAAATTACAATAACTGACAGCTTTCAATTAGGAATTCAATATAAAACTATCAAAATACTTTTTCATATTGAACCTTTTCGTGAAAAGTTGATATAAAATTTCAAAGTGACTAATGCAAAAAATAAAATCTTAAAATAATGTTTAAATTACGAAAGCAAATGTGGGCGATTTTTTCGTCATTCCATAACTTTTTGTTGTTGTATAAATTCTTCGATTTTACTCTCTATCTTTATTATCTTTAAACTTTATTTAGATTTTCCTGGAGGTTCCATCCCCTCTTGATGGTCGGAAACAGCTTGACATGAGCTATTTTCTTACGGAAAGATTTTTTGCAGTTTTTGTCCTGTAAACATAGTAAATCAAGAAAACTTTATGATAAAAAATGTTCACGCTTATTTCATTTTTAATTAAAGGGACTGTTAATTTCAAGTGACCCTCCATGCAAAGATGGCAATTCCGGATTTATAACGATATTCTTAAAACCTTTCGTGTGTACGTCGAGCACAGAGATATGTGTGTGTAAACTGTTCGTTTAGCTTGTATATCAGATGAAAGTTCCGGTGTGCGCTGCCTACACCCCTGAAGTTCTAAACTAAACACAGCACACACTGGCATTTTTAGCTGAAAACAAGCGGGTTACCCTAAGTTTACACACACTGATAGGGATGTTAACGTTTTCATTTTTTGAAAAACGATCGTTTCGTTATGAAAACGACGACGAAAAATCGAAAACGAAATGATCGTCGTGTCGTTAACGATTAAAAACAATCGTTATTCGTTTTCTAAAAGTTCAAAACGAGTGGTTCGTTTTTAAAAACGATCGTTTTTTTCCGAAAACGAAACGATCGTTTTTGTAAAAGATTGAAAAACGAAACAAAAAACGATCGTTTAACGATCGTTTACAAAAACGATTAACAACCCTACTGACACCAATATCTCTGTATTAGACAAATACACAAATATTTCAAGGGTACCAAATTGTAAATCTGGAATTGCCCCCTTTACATCGAATGTTGGAAGGTCACTTGAAATTATGTTAACAGTCCCTTTAAATTATAAAATCTATCAAATATACATATTACAGGAATCAGATGTAGACTCGCCAAAATTAGAAAATTCTCCAAAGTAAGTAGTTTGCTAAATTTTTTAACACAATGGTCATTATGCAATAAATGTCTGTTTACCTTTTTTTAAAAGAGTAAGTTTAAGTTCGATTAAAAAATTTAAGATTTGTAACATAAGTTATGATAAAAAAGTGTATTTATGGCATTTTTCCTTTCTTCTCTTGATGCTAAAGATATAATATATGCAGGGTGTCCCAATAAACATGGGAATTAAATGACTACTTCTATAACGTCTTTGTTCCGAGCGGGATTACTTCGTAAACATAGTTTTGTAGTATCACAGTTATAAACTTGTATCACCGAAAACTACTAGTCTCGGGTTTTCCTGAATGTGGTCTACCATTTTAACCTTCAAAATTGAAGGAGATTCCAGTTTATTAAAAATCAACAAAACTGTTCAAATGTTTAATATCTCTGTCAATATTAAAGATACAAAGAAGGTAGAACACATTTTGGAAAGCTCATTAGATATTTAATCTTTTTTCGATGCACTTTTAGGTCATTTATCAATTATCGGAAATCAAAGACGATATCCAAGTCGTCTCTCGATTCCCATGATGATTGGGACACCCTGTACAATATGTACATTATTTATACAACATACATAATAATTTATTTTTTTAAGGTTTTCTATAACAGGGGAACTAAGGTATAAATTAATAAATATTTAGAATATTGTTTACTTGATAAATTATGATTCCAGTATTGGAGGAATCTGTGAGATTGGGAAACCAATAATTGGAACCTTGCTAGTTGAATCTTCAGATAAAAGTATATATTCAGGTCAAACAAATTTTAATATTCTTTCATCTTTTTCTTTCCTTTTAAATTTTTTTTCTCCAACATTTTTTTATCAACAAGGTTTGCAAAAGACTTCAGAGTTGGTAGAATTTATTCAGTTTTATTTTCATGCAGCTGTAAACTTGTTTTCTCCTTTCCTAGTTCAGCTTGAGCTGTAAACTTGTTTTCTCCTTTCCTAGTTCAGCTTGAGCTGTAGACTTGTTTTCTCCTTTCCTAGTTCAGCTTGAGCTGTAAACTTGTTTTCTCCTTTGCTAGTTCAGCTTGAGCTGTAAACTTGTTTTCTCCTTTGCTAGTTCAGCTAAAGCTGTAAACTTGTTTTCTCCTTTCCTAGTTCAGCTTGTACATGTTGTAGTATTTAAAGAATAGAGTATAAGATTCAAAAAATCTGATTTCTGAACCTTATATTAGGTCGATCAGTTAAGATCTCATCCTGTTTAATCTTAAGCTAACCATGTTTTTTTTACTGCATAACTGTATTCTTTTTAAAATAATTAACAAAAAAAATTTTTTAGTTACTGTTTAGTTATGATTGAACTGCAGAGAAAGGAAGAATGGTCCCAAATTGGAAGTTTTCACTCCTCCAAGATTGTGAGCCTTCAAGTAAATGCATTTTTTAAAAATAAATAAACTTATTTCTTTATGAAGACAAAATTTGTATTATAAATTAAAAAAAAGAACTTTCTGATGTCAGAAAAAAAAACAGGACTAGATTGGTTTTGCTTTTAAATTGCAAACGCTGTTCGTTGTTTTATTTATTTTGATATTTCAAAAACAATGTTTTGATTCGCTTTAAATACATTTGATTCGAATTTTTATAATGTCATTGTTTTCAGATCTGCGACGGAAATGTTCCAAAGAATGCCGCACTACCGATTAAACTAATTTTCCCGCGTTTTAGGGTAGCGCCATCACTTTCCATACCAAACCTCAGTGTACGCTACAGGTACGCCATCTTTCTTTTTAGAAATTTTAGAAACTCCAATTTTAAATATTAAGTAATTTTATCGTACAGCAAAGAATGTGACAGTCAAAAAAGTGTTCAATACGATAAAAAAAATTTATTTAATCTGCACTGTAATTATTTCTTGCCAATGTTTCTATAAACAAAATATTAATAAAAACAGTTCTTTACCGACCCTGAAAACTTTTGCAAGCACCACCACAATGTCAAAAGCTACGACATAAATTTCTTGTTGAACAGAAACTTTATGTAGCATAAAAATTCAGAAATTTTGAATTACGGTGAATTACATGAAGATGCGTGCCACTGAATGTAATATTTGATTTTTTCAGTTTTGTGATAAGTGTCATGTTTGAGAACAAGGACATTGTCACAAAGGAATATCCTATCCATATTGTTCGACGATAAAAAATATGTAACATATATTTGTATTTAACTTTTCTATATTGTGGAAATTAATCTAGTTGTAAATTATATATAATTAGATAAAAATTAATAAAATTTTATAAAAATATATTTGATTTACAGCGGTTAATTATTTAATGTTATATTATGAAATTCAATCTATATCATGAAATTAGCCAACCAATCAATCAATCAACCAATAAAAAAGATTATTCCATGGGAAATTTTTTTTAAATGACTGATCCGGTCTTTGTTTATAAATCATAAATGCCAAAACTATATCAATTAAAGAATGTATATTTTCAGCTCTAAATAAACTTGTTTAATTCCACAAATCTTTACACTTTAGTTTGATCGATCTCAATCCATAAATGCCCCAAAGTTGGAACAGATTTCAATACAAATTTTCTTTTTCCGGAAAATGTCGCAATGCCATCAATACCCTTAGTTTTTGCATCAATGGTTGCTCTGAAGGTAGAATCAGTTCCGGAATACTGATAAAATTCATTTTTTTTCTCGATTAGTTTCATAACAATGTTGCCAGGTAGGAAAATGTTTTCTTCTCCCAGAATACTTGAATCCACGCCAACAATCTGACAGCTGATATAATGCCACTTCTCACATTCAGTTACTGAAACATGGCCAATTATAACACTTTTTTAACTAGTTTCATTATTGCAATGGTTGATTGTTTCACATCACTTTTGCTAGCGTCATTTAAACTTATACCTCATTTTTGCCTTAAATTATTTTGCTGCATACAGTTTTTGCTATACATTTTTTTATGCTATAAAATTTTTTTATATGGAAAAAATCCCTAGCACTCTGCCCCTACTTTAACTTCTGTGCCCGGCCCCTCTTGTAACTTGCGGTGCCTCTAAAGGCCTACCTTGGCCAAAAGTATAAGTTTGAACTAGGATGTTTAACATGTAAAAAAAATGTTTGTAAGATAAATAAAAATGTCGTAAATAAGTGAATTAAAAAATGACGTTATAGCACAAATGGCATTGACAATAATGACAACAACAAAAAAATTGGTAGAGCCGTGACAATTTTACTCATGTCAGAGAATATAAGAAAACAAGAAAATGATGACACCAGGTTTGAGATTTTCTTCGTTATGTGATTTACGGTTTTTCATGTTAATCCAGGGAGTAAGGAATAGAAGGGAGATATAACTGACGCGGTTCGCCCTACCATATGATTATACATGCTTTACAGACGAAGTACTCCATTTGAAAAGAGTTTTTTTAAAGGTCGTCTTTTAATTTTTGAAATGTACTTTTTACTTTACCATAATAAATAAAAACAATCTTATTTAATATAAAAAAAAATTCGTTTGTGTTGCTAATAATTTTGCATCTTAAAAAATGAATTTATTTGGCGATTTTCAGCATACTTGTTTCCCTGTTAAATGTATTCAATGACCTTTTCTGAATGCATGTACGCGGTAATTGTGCATAAGACGACATTTAAATATTTCTTATTCAAATGGAGTACTTCGTCTGTAAAGCATGTATAAAAATATGGTAGGGCGAACCGCGTCAGTTATATCTCCCTTCTATTCCTTACTCCCTGTGTTAATCCTTTCGCACCAGAAATAAGGAAAAGCCATTTTTGGCTTTATATGCACAGTTAACACCAATATTGAAATTTACAAACCAGAACCTATCGTAGACTAAAAAATATCTTTTGATTTCATAATTTCTTAGAATATTTTACTGACAGGGAAAAAATATTGTTAAAAACTTAGCCATGTAATTGAGGATTTTATGGCTTTCCTGTTTTTATTTTCCTGAAGATGTTAGCTTTCTTGTACAAAGCCAATAATGGCCGGCCTCTCGGTGAAAAAGGGTTTTAAAGACGTTCGAGGATTTTAGAGGCTTAAAAATCCTAAAAACCTATTTTTTGGGGGGGAGGGGAGAGGGTATCACTATCCAGTAATAAATTTGCCCAAGAAAGTTGTGTGGTTTTCCTTACCTGATGGATTTAGATCTATTAGCATCTTTGGTTCCTCCGACTCACTATTAGCATAATCACGTTCATTTTCATTATTCTCCACGTGCAGGTCGATGTCAGACACAGGTTCAATCTCTTTTCACAAAATATTAGATTTTCTTAAATAAAAGCGGAAAAATTGATTTCAAATTTTTCGTGTTTTGATAAATTATGTGCAAATTGAAGAAAAAAATTGTATTTGCTTATAGAAAAATGTGCAAAAAATAACAATAAACAAAACAAAAAATTGTCTCCCAGGTTCTGAGGGTACTGTACAGTGTACAGTGTACAGTGTACAGTGTACATTGTACAGTGTATACGTAATTTCAAAGAACTCCCTATTTCAAGATGTTAATCCCCAAATCACAACGGTGTCCAACTTTAAATTATTTTTTTGTTAATTCTAAGGCCGTATCATTTCAATGGAATGCTATTTTTAACCCGTTTTTTAATTCTTGAAAACAGCTGCATATGTTTACATAAGTTTTTACCAAAAATTCTTTCTTTTTTATTTTAACCACTGGATTGAACAATCTTCATCATCAATGTTGTGGTGTGTTTGCATATAGCAAACACCACCCACCGGGCCTATTTATTGGTTAGATAATGAGGAAATTTTAGAACATTTTTTATCCACAATGTTTTGGGACATCTTTTCTCGCACAAAGCGCCAGAAAATACAGATTTGATCAATCGTTAAAAAAGCTTTAAATAATATCTGTCTCCAGTGTAATCTAGTTATAGTATAATAGATATTGATATGATATACTGAAAAGAATAAAAAATATATTTTTAAAAAGTTTTTTGCTTTTTTTTAACTACTACATTGTATAATGGTGTGATTTGTAATTATGGTCAAATGGTCAAATGTCGGGTAAGTCAACCCTATTCCGATTGGGCTATTTTGGTCTATTATAGATTTGGGTGGGGGGGGGGGGTGTTTTCCTATGATTTTGCCCTTAGAGTTGAGATAGGGGATGCATATTCCTAGACCAACTTTTCAAGGCCTGCTCATTTAAAAAAACCAGACCTCTAACTTTAATTGTCAGGGAGGATTTTTAAAAATTTAAAAAGTATGTCGAAAAATTTTTCAAATATGGCTATTTTTACTTTTGACAAATATTAACATATTACATATGTTCATGTTTCCATTTTTCAAGGCCTTTTCAAATTTATAAGTCTTAGCCCTGTAGCTTCATGAATAAAAAAGTAATTAACCATTTCTGATTTTTTTAAACACCGACCCGCTGATTGACCATTCTCCACCCTATCCTATGCATAGAAAAAAATAATTTAACAAGATTTGTTCACTACTATGTAGGGATGTTAACGTTTTCATTCTTTTGAAAAACGATCGTTTCGTTATGAAAGCGACGACGAAAAATCGAAACGAAACGACCGTTTTTAAAAAATATCGTTTTTTTAAAAGTTCGTTTTTTAAAAATGGTCGTTTTTCAAAACGACGACCCCTCGTTAACGATCGTTAACGAGCTTTAACAAAGAGAGGAAACCGACCTGATGGGCATCTGTACTTATCATTGAGTAGTTTTTAAAAACTTAAGTAGTTTTAACTCCCCCACAACTGTTAAACTTCATGTAAGACGACATTCAATAAAGTAGCATATAATTTTTTTCTAAAACTAAAGTTTTTCCAAAAACTACCGTTTTTATAAAGTTCGTCGTTTCGCTAACGATCGTTAATGACAACCCTTCGTTAACGATCGTTAACTTCGACCCTTTTTTAACGATCGTTAGCATAATTGTCAATATATTTTTTTTCAAAAACGATCGTTTTTTCAAAATGATCGTTTTTTAAAAAACAATCGTATAAAAAACGGTCGCAAATCGTTTATAAAAACGATCGTTTTCAAAACGATCATTATTCGTTTTTTAAAAGTTCAAAACGATTGTAAAACGAAACAAAAAACGGTCGTTTAACGATCGTTTTCAAAAACGATTAACAACCCTACAACTATGGTGTTGAAAAAGTGAAGAAGTTTTAGCGTTCTAATGTAAGCCATTTTTATGTTATTTAGAAGAAACCACAGGGTGGGGGAAGAGGGTGGAAAACCCCCCCCCCCCCTTCCTCATCGTGATAGGGTTTATATAGATTTTAAACTTCATTTTTTTTAAACAAAAAAAATTGTGCTCGGTTACTCGCGTTAAACGTTCAACCCCCCCCCCCNCTCAAGCTAAACCTCCACTACGCCTCTGTGTACAACATCCCATCCCAAATAGATTACCAAGTCCAATAGGTGGCAACAGAGACAATTATACATGACGTCACAAGTGTCAAATATAACAAGGAAGACAACATTTTCTCCCATTGGTTGACATGTTTTCCAAAATTAGATAAAAAAGGTTAAAAACAGAAAAATGTACTTATTTCACCAGAAGATAAGCACTTTATTAAGCTATTATTAATAATTTTGTCAGACACATATTCTGTTGACACTTGTGACGTCAGAATACAGCTGTGCTGAGAGCGTACACATTCTACATTGCCATCTATTGTACTTGATAATCTATTTGTTCCATCCGGTTGCTCTTGATCAGCCAACGGTTTCAAGGAACAGTTGTGAATCAGGCATGCCCTTCCTTTAAATGGAAGGTCACATGAAATTACGCCAACAGTCCCTTTAAATTTAAAAAGAAAATATTTTGAAAAAAAAAGTTTCCTGAAGGTTGTTTGAGTTTGACTAGATACTGTTTTAATTTGTCTTGTCCAGGCTTTTTCACTGTCTGAAGGAAATACGTTCCAGAACTTTCTAAATATTTATTAGAGGGAGAGACTGGTTAGGTAACATATTTGAACCGAGAGTGCAGTGTTATAGAGAAATGTTTTTGGATTCATTTAATACCATTGAGGCGTTTTAAAGGTGTATAATTTCTAAGTCAGAGCTTAATTTCGTTCTAAAACTTCACCAGAAGGAATGGTCCTCAGAAGAAAAGTTTTTTTGCAATTGTGTAATAATCCCGACGAAACATGTATTAATGCAAATTCTTTCTACTTGGAAACGTTACATCTAGCCAGAGATTTGATTAGAGGTAATGTTTAGCCTAAGGTATAAAAAATTATAATAAAGATAATTAATGTTTTACAGTATTTATAGAAATCTTATCAGTGCTGAAAACTCTAGAAATGGATACCTTAAATCCCAATCGCTTAATCTAAATATCCATGTAGACAATTTTAATTTCCTTTGAGTTGCATACACTTTTGAGACAATCTTAAGATTAAATTAGTCTTGAAATTAAAAAAAAGAGAAGATCAAGCATTGATCTCGATATCCACAATTCTAGAGTTTTCAACTCAATTCGATCAAACGAAAATAGTTAAAGAAAGTGTAACTATCGCAAGCTTCGATAGAACTTAAGAAATATTAAATTTGTAGGATATGATCCCATAAAAGTTTAACTTTTTTAAAATCTATTAAAATCATAAAAGATTCTACAAATTGTATCTAAAATCAAAGTTTTAAAAAACACTATCAAAATTATATTTGGCTATAAACTTTTGTTTTGTTGTTTTGTAGCGATAGACAGATATACAGATAGACAGTTCGATTGTTCGAAATTTGTCAAAAAAAATCATATAAGATTGTTAGATCGTTGATGCCGTTAATCGTTCATTTCGAAATTTTAAACATGCAACAATTGGAAGTTATTGGTGAGGAAGGGGGGGGTAAGATTAAAAAATTTAAGTTGTAATACCTGTTAAAATACTACTAAGTAGAATTGTAAGAAACAGTTCTTTTTTTGAAAACATGACAAGCTGAAATTTAGTTGATTTAAGAAAATTATATATTCTAATTTTTGTTTTAATTAAAAATTTTTATTTTTACCTATTTGACCTCCCTCTGCTGTTAAACTCAGTTGAAATCCAAATATTTTATAAGAATTTCCATCTGAAAATGTTTAGTTGTATAAAAATCGGATTACAAACAAATAGAGATTAGAAAATTTGAGTTTGAGGCAAAAAATCAATTCATTTAGAATCTAAATAAAGCAACATGTTTATTTGTCATATGTAATTGACAGTTAACAGAATGGAAAAATAAAAAAAATTAATCATAATTTTTACTTTATTTAACGAATTAATGAGATAAAACAACGAACAGTCATACAAATGAAAACCATAAAACTCTGGAATTGAAAGAAGACTTTTGGACTCAAGTTATAACTTTGAATAGTCAAATGATCGTGATACAAAAGAATTTTACAGTGTAAAAAAGCCCATAGTTTACTTAATAAGTTACGTGTAACACCATTTGCTTTCTAACGTCATATAAATACACTTAACTATGGCTTTAATGTCGTCTTCCTATTCCACAGTGAACTCAAATAGATTCTAATACAATAGATGGCAACTTAGAATTTGTATACTCTCAGTACAGCTGTATTCTGACGTCATAAGTGTCAACTCAGTTTTTGTTACCAACAAAATTATTAATAATATAAATAATTTTAGACTAAAGTGCTTATCTTTCAGTAAAATAAGTGCAAATGTTCTTTTTTCTGTTTTTACACTTTTTATTTAATCTTGAAAATGTTATCAAATGGGAGAAAATGTTGTCTTCCTTGTTATATTTGACACTTGTGACGTCATGTATAATTTTTCCATATCCCTGTTGCCACCTACTGTACTTGATAATCTATTTGAACTTACTGAAATTCACTGAAGTTTATAAATGTTTTAATTTTCTTTAGAAATTTATCTTTTTTACTTGCTTCACTGAAACTATTTAAGGTTTCACTTAATTTGAACAAACCTTGAACTTGTCGGTTTTTTTACTGATTTAGCTAATATAATACAAAACTGTATTTGATCATAAAACTATGAAATATTAGATTTAAATATATTCATATAGTATTATATATATCATATATCACATACATATATTGCATAAATATATATGTATACGTACAAATACATATTATAAAGATACAAATTGTAAATTAATGTTATCATTATGCATATATAACATTAATATTATATAATATTTAATTTCCTTTAATTATTATTTTGAAATCTAACACTAATTTTAACTAAACGGTGGAAGCTTTTAAAGATCATACAATTTCTAAAATTAAGTTTATATTTGTTTTAATGTTTCAGACAAGAGGCTTCTTCTTGTTAAAATCAAATTTTAAAAAAATTGACACAGTTCATAAAGATGAATATTTTAACAACTTTTCACAAAAAAAAGATTTTTTACAGTATTTTTCTCTTTCAATTTTAAGATTTGAACTATAAATATCATAAGAGTTATATATTTTAGCTCTTTAATAATTTTTTTATTGGACATTCCTTAAAGATTCATTAGCGACAGTCACACCAAACACAATTTGTGCTTTGATTTTTCCGCCAGCTAAAAATCTAAAAATGTGTTCTCGCCTCGACAACGTTTTTTTTCACATAAGAAATAGAGACAAATCTTTGCGGAAATCGTCGTACAAAGTAATGCCCTGTGCTAACACCATTGTGTTACCTCAAAACTGTAAAAATCACTTTCGAGTGCGTAATTTCATATTTTTATTGTAAACAGTTTCTTTATATGTACATGCAGGGAAATTCTTAGTTACGAAACTGTCTAAATACTTAAATGATAAAATAATCATGAACATTTTAATCCTAAAAGACATAGGACGACATTTCATTCAATCAGTTTATTAGGATCAGGTACTGTATGATTTTATTTATGAACAATCTGCGCCCGAATTCAATTTAGAGAACAATATTTAATAGGTCACATTCGTACTTACTAACTAATGGAAGATAAAGGGTAAAAAAGAAAAGTAGCAAAAGCGAAAACAATGTTTTAAATTTAGAAAATTAATAATTTTAAAAAAAGCTAAAATGTATTGAATATTTTTCACGTTCACTGACCTATACGGATTTAAGAGGTTGAGCTGACCCCTCCATCCAAACATTTCAATTCACAACGATACTATTGAAAGCTTTGTCTAATCAGTTTAAAACTGTGGATTTTCCATACAAAAGTGCAGTTTGCGCATACAGCATGAAAAATGTATAGAGGTTAGAGGTACAAATAAACACTTTGAAACCTAGAAAAACGACATTATTAAATCTTCTATTAACCAGATAAAGGTTTCAATCGGACAATGCCATCTTTTGTACGAAGGGTTATTTAAAATTACGATGATAATCCCTTTAAAAGAATTACGATGATATTTCCTTTAACAGAATTACGATGATATTCCCTTTAACAGAATTACGATGATAATCCCTTTAACAGAATTACGATGATATCCCTTTAACAGAATTACGATGATAATCCCTTTAACAGAATTACGATGATATTCCCTTTAACAGAATAATTTGGGTTGTACATATCTAGTGCTGGATTAAAGTTTAATATTTAGCATTGTCCAATTATATTCAAGTAATCATTAAAGAATTGATTTGATCAGGTCCACTCAAAACTTGTTTACTGACGAAATATTTAATAAATTTGTTCACGTTTATATCTCCTGTCAGTCATTTTGACGTTTACTGGACACAGACATCCTAACAGACCAACAAGCAAAATATATCAAAAACTTGAAGACATAAAAATAGCAATCCAAAAAAGAAAGATCATTATCAGATTTTTGGATACATTTTAGGGTCTTCGACAAAATGACAAAAGAGATACCATAGAAACCATCTTTGGTCAGCTCTTACAATTAGTTTATGACAAGATCAAAAAAGTAGCATGATCTACAAGCAGTTTAGGAAAAACAATGCAGTCGGCCGGGAAAGCTTATAAGCCGTTTATATACATGTTTGTAAATCAATCAAAATAATATGAACTCGAAATGGGCGGCGGAAATGGAGCTAAGGAAAATGCAACTCGAGATAGCGGAAACTTCGGTCGGAGCCGGGTTAGGTTAGGTGGTTTACAATGGTATGTACATTTCTCATAAGATACCCTTGACAGATTCTTTCTTTAGATTATCATTGTGTTGTGGGAAACCCATTTTCCGTATCTTATCCGCACAAGCAAATATGCTAATATTTGCAAATATATGCAAATATTTTACTGTAAGCGTAATGTAGTTCAAATTACTTTCAGGCAATTGCAACTTGCAAATATTTGCAAACGACTAATTGACAACGACTAATATTAGTTCTATCTGATGTCCATGTCTCCAGAAAATGATTTAATACTGTGTCGAAAACTCATAAATATGTAATTAATATAATCACTTAATTTTGTTAACATTTTCATTTAATTTTGTTAACATTGACATTTAATTTTGTTAACATTTTCATTTAATTTTGTTAACATTGTCATTTAATTTTATTAACATTGTCATTTAATTTTGTTAACATTGTCAATTAATTTAACATTTTCATTTAATTTTGTTAACATTGTCATTTAATTTATTATATCTACATTCTATTGTAGGTCTGAAATGTACGAATTTTCATGTATGTTTGCATCTATCTTTGTCCTGATTTGAGGAGTTTAGTCAACAAGGCAACAAGCCTACCTATCAGTTAATCAACCAGGCTATCAGTCTATTATTACTGACGCATGACTATTTTTTTTACGATATTACGGTTTAACTTTATCTGTACCCTAACTACATTCATTAATTTCTTAACAGACCCATTGGTCCAAATTGTTAACATGTAATATTAAACCCAAAATATAGTTCAATTGAATATGAACTGCTGCTTCATGACAGTCAGAGTTATATTGCTTGGTACAGACTAGAGTTCTATAGCTTTGTGTGTCGATAAATACTTACTTAAGATTTTGAGAGCGAGTTGTATCTGTTTGGATACATACTCAAGAATACAAAGAAAGTTGTATCTAGATTGATACAGACTAAAGTATTATTGGAGAGTAAAGAGTTCGAGAGCGAGCTAGTTGTATCAGGATTGATACCAACTTGAGAATGCAGAGAGTGTTGCATCTGGATTGATACTTACTTGAGCATAAAGAGAGTTGTATCAGGATTGATGCCAACTTGAGAATACAGAGAGTGCTGTATCTGGATTGATACTTACTTGAGCATAAAGAGAGTTGTATCAGGATTGATACCAACTTGAGAATACAGAGAGTGCTGTATCTGGATTGATACTTACTTGAGCATAAAGAGAGTTGTATCAGGATTGATATCAACTTGAGAATACAGAAAGTGCTGTATCTAGATTGTTTCTTACTTGAGCATAAAGAGGGTTGTATCAGGATTAATACATACTTGAGAATACAGAAGGTTATACCAGGATTCTTATACTACAAGCTTAAAAGAACTATTAGAGTACATAACATGTCTGACCGAGCTGCGTGGCCAGATACTGAACGGCCATTGGTGGAAATTCTGGTCATGTGATACAGATGGAGCCACCTGGCCAGATACATTCAAATTATTAAAGGAGCTTCACAAGAAAAAAAATTTAAGGCACCTCAGGTTATCATTTTTAGATTTGTTCCATATTTGCTGAATACTATCTGTTTAAAACTTTGCTTCAAATACCATATCACATATTTTTAAGTTATTAATTTCTTGATACAGGGACATCAAATAGAACTAATATTGGTCGCGATCAGCTCCAAAAAATTAAGACTTTAGCCTATACCCCTTTCACTTTACTCTAACAGTTCCTTTAACTAACAATTTTCTTATACAAATTTATTGTGTAATATATCAGGCCAATTTTAGTCCATCATTTGAGAGAGTTTGTCAACATCCATTTCTTTCAGAATAGTTTTTCCCTTAAACCAGGGTTCAATCGAGAACTTTCTTCCATCCTGTAGAGTTATGCTTGCACTGACACCGGTACCAACGGTCAATAGAGCCTCGGCCTCATCTCCTTCATATATGTAACTCTTGTCATTGCCAGGAGTGTTTCCTTTAAAGGGCGGGGTCACGATTCTTGAGTCGATCCAATTTGTTTATTTATAGATCAGTGAAAACCAGAAAAGAATGAAATATGAAGACGACAGTATACAGGATGACCCACAAAGGATGAGAATGTAAAGACGACCCAAAACTCTAAAAATATGACGATTTGAAGTTTGATTTTTGGTTTCTTATTCAATTGATTGTTAATTATATGATTACAGAAATAAGACAGTTTTGGTCTACAAAAAACATTTGACATGAGGCCCAGACGAAAATGATTGACGGGTCAGCTTCGTGAACCTTTCCTTTAAAGTGTAGCTGTATTCCTCCAGGTAAAAGAATCATATCATTTCCAATAATATTTCTGTTTACAGTAATCATGTGACACAATTTGATTAAAGGATCTTCACACGCCTCTTTAGCTTCGTCAGCTTCTGCTACAAACAAAATATGGATTGTTCATAATATTTAATAACGATTTAGATGAATCAGACAAGATGTTATAAATGCATAAATACGTATTTTTAACTGTTCTTTTGATATCCTTTTCTTTGTTACTGCCATGAATTTTTACAAAAGTGAAAAAAATATTTTGACATTTCGCTATATTTGGTTTTTATTCAAGGTTGTATAATAATCTGGGTTACTCTCAATGAGCTCCAATCTACGGAAATTATCGTATCCTAAGATAGACAGATAAAAACATAATATGACGTCACTGATTTTAGATGCAAGAGTGACGTCATATTTATATTTATCTATCTTAGGAGACGACATTTTCCTTACATTGGAGCGCATCGATCAGTAACCCATTGGTTTGATTACAACATGCATGTAGATAATACCTCCTGGATCAATTGTATACAAGAGATTAGCATCTTGTGAAGGATCCTGAACATCTTCTAGTGCTGAGGGATCCTTAGTCTTCACAAGATAGGAGGCAGGTTCACCATCTGAAAGGGACTGTTCAGAAATTGTGAAAAAGATGTTTTGTTTTTAACTATAAAAATAACGTACTATTTATAATAATCACACTTTTCAGAAAAAGATTGAACAGGTGCTGTTATTAATCAGACATGCAGCTCTATAAATGCATTTTTCACTCAAGCTTACGTCTATAATCCCTTTAACAATGCTCTGTGGTAAAAATGAAAGAATAAAACTACCTGTCACTAACAAGTTAATTTCCAAAATGGCCGTCACTAGGATCCACGTTCTCATGCTGAACCTTCAATAACAATTCCATTAAATTCAGAGAAACTTTGAAACATGACACATCATTCATTTAACATTTGTTTTCTACTTTTATTAATTGTTTTAAATAAATTGCATTAGGATTATTTGCAATTCTTGAAGGGAGTGCTTTGGAACAAATATTAATGGGATATGTATTGAATTTGTCGTATACCTAATTCATTAGAAATATATGGGTGCACCATAATTTCACATTTTTGATCATTTTGTGGTGGATTGTTGGAATACTTTGAAGATGAGCTCAAAGCTTCCAGGTCTAAGAAATGTAGATTTATACTGATATTGAAAAAATGGGGTTTATGGTTGTTTTTAGACCAAATTTTTCATTTTTAACACTTTTTAATTTGCGCTGATTTTCTGACAAACTTTTTGTTTGATTATATATTTTATTCTTTTTAATCTTGTTAATCTTGTTAGTCTTTTCTTTACAATATCGTCTTTGCTTTCTTCGATTATTTTGTAAACATAACATGTTTTTAAGTTTAAACATTGGTTATACTTGTATTACTTTTCAATTAAATTCTGATAGAAATAATTGCAATATATTAATCACGGATGTTTAGAAAAATTTAGTTTAGTTTCATATCTATTATAGACTTGAAAAGAATTCAGTATTAAAATGCCAAGATTGAGTGGAATAACAAAGCATAGTTACACACACACTTGTTGACTTTAAAAGTCACTATAGTAAAATAAAGAGATCTAAAAATGGATATTTCTAACATTTATTTAAAAACGAAAGTTTTGAAATATTTGCATTTAAGGCGGAGTTAAAATTGGTTGATTTAGAAATTAACAAAGGAATTAATGATGAACATTTGTGGGTACTTCATGGGAGTGATGTAGAGCTTCATGTACCCCAAAAAAAATTTTTGCGCCCCCCTAAACAAAAGCCCTCGTACGCCCCTGTATATGTGAAATGATCATTGGTCAAATATGAAACCAGCCTATTTCATAATTTGGATTTCTTTTCATATTAATTTTAGATTTTCTATAAAATGATGTTCCAGGGCCCAAAAGGTAGCGCAAATATATGAAATACACCTGCAAAAAGTACAACAAAATAGCGTTTTACACTTTTTTCTAGTAAATTCCATTCTAATATATATTCTATTCTCTTTGTATATACCATTCACGAACTATTTTTAAGATAGGAAAGCCAAATTCAACCTTCAGATCTTCATCCTAGCTGAGCTATATCCTTCTAAAATAGGCTGGGGGTGGAATGTTTCCCCCTCCCCTATGATTTTGCACTTACAAGGGGATAGGGGAGTGTGATACATGTCCTTAGTCCAACTTTTCAAGGCCTACTCGTAAAAAAACAAAACCTCTAACCTTAATGGTTATGGGTGCAAGGGAGGATTTAAATAAGTTCAAGAAGTATGTCATAAAATGTTTTAAAATAATTATTTTTGATTTTTTTTTAAAATATTGAAATATATATTATTACATTTTTCAAGGGTTTTTCAAATATATAAATTTTTGCCCTGCAGCTTAATTAATAAAAAAGTTTATGATTTTTTTGAAACACCGACCCCCCGTTTGACTGTCCTCCCACATGATCTGAGAGTTACTTTTGAAAACATTTATTCCTGTTTCGAGGATTTTTGATTATGAAGGCGACATTTTAATATTCTCCAGGAATGTTCGAAAATCCAACGCAAGCGAAAATTATTTAAAAAAAAACAAAATCAAAAAATTTTATGAAATATTAACTATATACGAATGCGTCGAAAAATAATCGATGAGTACTTTTTGTAATATCTGAATGATTTGTTTGGAATTAAATTGATTTGTGGGGTTTGACATGTGGGTGCTACATGGAGGAAATGGATAAACACGTCTTGAGAAAAGGCTACGGCATTTGAGTCGGTAAAATCGTCTTCCTTATATTTCGAATTTGTGTTAACAACACTTTATTTACATTATAACGATACAAACGATTATTTCTGAGCCAACTAAAGTTGATCGTAACATACACAACATTCGCTTGGGGCAAATATATTTCCATTTGACTCCCCACCTCAGAGGGGGCACGCGTAGGGGGGGGGGACCAGGGGGAGGGTTCTTTTAATATTCCATCTCCCTCAGGCAATCTACATTCTACATTGCATTGCATTGCATTCTTCCAAACTAAAAGATGAAGAAAATAATTCAAATATATTCTGATTCACAACAATACCCTTCAAAGCTTTGTCTGATCAAGTATTACATTAAAAATCCATGTTTCCCATATTGAAAACTGAATTTATTTGTAGTTTCTCTACAAAAGAGACTCGCGCATTTCTTGCTTCAGAAACGATGGAGAAATGAAGGTTTCAAAGGTACATCGGAAAAAAGCTTCAATCAGTAACTGCCTTCAGTGTAAACTGTAAAAATATATTTGATATCATAATTTATTATATAATATGTATCAATCATATGAAAATATAGATATATTTTCAGAAACGTTTCCATCTATATTTTTCATCCCTTGAAGCTTACACCACAGTATTAAGAAGGATTGACTGATTTTGTGCCCCCCCCCCCCCCNATTACATAAATTTAAACTTACAAAGTTAAAAAAGGTAACAATATTTTTTTTTAAAAAGGGGGTTTTTAAGGGGGGCACAATGTTGCCTGGGGGGGGGGCAACCTTTGAAAACATTTTTTACAAGGTTGGAAACTCTAAAAAATCTCTTAACTATCAACTTGATATTCTCATTACAGTGCTCATTACAGTATTTACCATCACGTTCTCTTCTTAAGATGTGGAATAACCTGCCTCTTGACTTAAAAAGAAGCAACTCTCTAAGTATATTTAAAACTAGACTACTAAATTCTCTTTTTGAAAATTACATTACAATGTGTTATAAACCGAATTGCTATTCATGTAAAACTAATTAGATATGATCTAATATGCTTTGATATTTGTTGTGTACATGTCAGAAAATTACTTTAAACTCTAGTTATTCTAATAAATGTATAAACTATTTTGCATAAGATAAAATCGCACCCTGATCTCTAATAGTTCTCCTTAAATCAATTCAATTGAAATGTTTTGTTATCATTATTAAAATTAGATGGAAAAAATAATCAAAACAGCCAAGCGCTATTTTCCACCTAATTGCTTTATACTTGTACTGTTAATATAATCATCAATTTGTAATCGTAAACTCGTTCTGTTCATAGAATACAGATACATGTATTTTAGCAATAAACTTTATCTTATCTTATCTTATCTTATCTATCTATCTATCTATCTATCTATCTATCTATCTATCTATCTATTTATCTGTCTATCTTTCTATCTATCTATCTACCTATCTGGATGGGTCTAAACGTGACGTACACAGTGCACAGTTATATAAGCTAAGAATGTTAAGGCGTTAGCTAGGGATGTCCAAATGTTTATTTAAAAATATGTCTGAGCAAACATTAGACTCAGTGTTTGGTAAAGTTGTACTTTATTACTAGACAGAAGGAGAAGGTCAGATGCATTACTGAAACAACTTTGTGACCTCGTAGCTCCTCTAGTTGTTAAGTGTAAGAAGAGCAAATTTGTTTGGTAACAAATTTTTTTATTCTTTTCAATAGCTCTTCAATAAGTAAATTAAACATATAAGAAATCAATCTTAAGTGAAATATTCTTAAGTTTGACAGAATTTTTTTTATATGGTTGAAGTCTCCTTGGCAATTCATATTTGTTATGATTTATTGTCTACAAAGTTAAAAGGAGGGTTCCGCATAAATAATAATAAAAATAATTTATAATGTAAATATTTTATTTAGTTTCTAAACCGCCTTAGACCCAGGTTAAAGATAGCAGATAGATAGATAGATAGACATCTAAACATTGACTTACGTAAATACCCATACCTGCTACGTGAACATTCATAATTCCTCTGTTGGGGGAAACTTTGAAATTGGAAAATTTTGATTATTGGACTCTTCCATTTTTGCTTTTAGTCTTAGGACGATAATACCTTTCAATTCTCATCCTCACATTAATCTCCCAAAAAGGGAATGATTCGTTTGGTGTACTGTCTCTAATTTATTAAACCGAGTCGAGTTTCGACCCTGTATTTAAATTAAGCATTCATTTTGTAAGTTTCTGACATGAACAAGTCACTTCTGTCATTGTTATATTGAAATAGAATTTTGAGGTTTGTACTTTAAACACTATGAAGCGTTTCTTTTACTGAAGTAATTTCTATGTTTCCATAAAATGATGAGAAAAAAAATGCCATTTTCAACAAGTGACCAAGTCGAAATGCAAAAAAATTTAAAAGGCTAAAAAATATAATAGATAATTGACAAAGGATAATTGTAAATATGAAAATAGGCATCACAATGTGAACCAAAATATGCATATTTTTACACAAAAATTAGTTTGGATTTTGCCGATTGCTCCTTTAAATCAAATCCTATGCAGATTTGAAATGTATGTAATGAAATGTAAAGGGGAAGGTTAAAGGGGATGGTGGATGGCTTATACCTGTGGAGGGGATGGGGGGGAGTTAGATTGTTCACGTAAAAGCAATTGTTTGAATTGTATTGTAGTAAAGAAGTATTTAAGAATGATTTATGTTTCTTAAATAGACTAAAAACACTACAATGTAATAAAAACTCGATGAACACGTTTAAAAATGGTAACACGGTTCCTAAGAATACGTTTTACCAAAACATTTGTTAGTAGTATTTCTTTTTATTTCAAACTATTTAACTCAACCTTTATTGAAAGATCTAAATCTTAATCTACCAAGTCCATTTCTTAAAATAAAACTTGGCTATTTCTAAAATTTAAACTCTAGAAGATCTAAGTAAAAATGAAAAAGGTATATTTCTCCTAATTGGTTTGATGTGAAATTTGCTTCTGTTTGGTCTACGCCATATTGAAACTCACAAATCTTAAAAAAAACTATGAAAGATTCTTGTAATATTTAAATAAAATCTAAAACAACCTTAATATTTGCCAAGAAAAGACTAAAACAAAAAATATTTGAAATAGCTAAATGTACTTTATCATGGAGATTATGGGCA